ACAGGCTGAAGTTAGTTTTAAGTTAGTTGACAGTTGTCAAATGTCATACAATCGTTAAAATAAAGTGCCTTTCTTGTAAAATAATACTAAATGAGAAAATTATTTTATTATCTCAATACAAAAATACAAAAATATTAAATAGTTTCTCAACGCCAATATTTGAAAAGTTTATATGAACATTGTACTGACCTTTTAATTTCGCCGGCAGTAAACTATAACTTAAATTCGGGCACGGACTGTAAAGTCCTCATAAAACATTTCCTTTACTTTCACTGTGAAAAACTGTCAATTTTCAATATACATATCTATTTATAACCTTTATGATTGTGTTTATAAAATGTAAAAATGTGACATTTGACAGTTTCCCCTGTTGTTTCATAGATGGCGCTCTATACAAATTTTTGATTTAAATCATTTTAAGATAATAATAAGTATTTGTCGTAGAAAAAGTATAGTATGAACCTCGTTTATAAACTTTTCTATACACACATTAATTTAAGAACTCGCTCGCAAGCTCGCTCGTGCCTAAATTAAATTCGTGTATAAAATGGCGTTTATCAAACTTGATACATAATATACTATTTTGTACCTATTATTTGCCGTAGAAAGAGTAGGCAACACTGGCTTGCAAGCTCGCTTGTGCCTAATTAAAATTCGTGACTATAATAGCGTTTATTAAACTTGATAGATAATATACCTACTATTAAAGCACAGTTAAAGTTGTTTACATACGTCACAGTGTCTTTTGTATCTCACGAGCTCGCACAGAAGTGATATTTTCCATAGATTCTTTCAAAATTTCGGTTCCAAATTTAGGCAATAACATGGGATTATGTTGATAGCTTAGAAACTCATTATTATATTATATTTTTTATGGAAATCTCAAAAAACAGTGCGATTAAAGTGCGATGCACAAAACTTGGCAACGTATATCATTTGTTAAAGCCATGGATCCTTGCTTGAAGCTCTCTTTCCCGCTATTGGTGGATAATTTGAAATAATTTGTATACAACGCCATGTCCGTATATTATTCAATTTTTAATGCTACAATACCGTTACATTGGCACTGTGAAAAACTTTATTTTTCTGAACGATTTTTCTAAAATAAAAATATTACAAATACCAGCAATAGATTAGTCGTCGTACTTTTGTACCTTTTAAATTGTTTTGGCATCTTTGGTATTTTCTGGCAATTAATTGTATAATAGGCAAATTAAACATGGCAGTTCTCAAGGTGACCAGATTTTGTCAAAAAATAGAGGTTTTAGCATTTTGTGTAAATTAACCTTAAATACAAAATTACACAATCAACAATAATTAAGTACCTACCGTCAAATTTACAATTTGCATTCTATCATTGTGTCAATTTTGTAATTAAGTTAAATTCATACGAAATGTCCCTCTATTTTTTGACAGAATCTGGTCACTTTAGGCTATGTTTACATTAAGAAAGGTAGAGTCGTGATTCCGGCGTTGACAAAATACCATAATGCAGTATAAACTTGGCGACAAAAAAGTCAATCTGAAACTAACTAACTATAGTTGTTATAACAAATACTTATGTAGAGATATAAGTTAGATATAACCATTATAAAAACTCATTTTATTGTTTCGATTGGTAAATTTCAAAACAGAATCTGCTATTTGGTAGACTTTATTGAATTAACTTTAAGAAAAACTACTTAACATATTTTAATTGTGCAATATTTTAATGGTGGGTAATTAGAGATAAATGCTAGTGTTGAGTTTTTCATTATTTATGTTTAACTGTAAGAGGAATAATAGAATAATAAATACTTAATTTTCTCTGGACATTAAATCCGTTTTTATCTTTATTTCAAATTCTGACCCAACTCAATCAGATCACTGCGCAATTTTATTTATAAAATTTAACATAAAAGTGCAGAATGTGCTTTTATACTATACAAGTGTACCGTTAATTTAAAAACCTAAAAGCAGCAGACCGAAAAATTTTAGAACAACATTTTTACACCGTTAGTTAGGTAGTCAATTAAACGTTTTTAAATAATTGTTTATCTCAGATTAAGAGAAAAATGTATCTATTTACACATGCTTGTAAGTAGGTATGTGTAAATATATAGATAAATTTTCCTCTTAATGTGAGATAAACAATTATTTAAAAACGTTTAATTGACTAACTAACGGTGTAAAAATGTTCAAACAATAATAGTATATTATGTATCAAGTTTGATAAACGCCATTAAAAAAATTTTATACACTAATTTAATTTAGGCACGAGCGAGCTTGCGAGCGAGTGCTTAAATTAATGAGTGTATAGAAAAGTTTATAAACGAGGTGCATACTATACTTTTTCTACGACAAATACTTATTATTATCTTAAAATGATTTAAATAAAAAATTTGTATACAGCGCCATCTATGAAACAATAGGGGAATCTGTGTGTCACCGTCAAATGTAAATTTTTTTTATTTTATAAACACAGATTATAAAGGTTATAAATCGAAATGTTTTTCTTGAAAATTTACAGTTTTTCACAGTGAAAGTAAAGAAAATGTTTTATGAGCACTTTACAGTGGAGTCCGTGCCCGAATTTAAGTTATAGTTTACTGTCGGCGAAATTAAAAGGTCAGTACAATGTTCATATAAACTTTTCAAATATTGGCGTTGAGAAATTATTTAATACTTTTGTATTTTTGTATTGAGATAATAAAATAATTTTCACATTTAGTATTATTTTACAAGAAAGGCACTTTATTTTAACGATTGTATGACATTTGACAACTGTCAACTAACTTCGCCCCGTGACTAAAGCGCCATAAAGCCACAACTTGTCAGTGTATTTAAAAGGTCACTTAGTGTCGTGGAAACGTGTTCGATAAAGGGCGTTTTAAAGGTGGGAGTAGAAAAAATGTTTTAAACATGTTTAAAACATTTTATTGTTTGAATAAATACTTTGGACAAATATATTTAAAATCACCTCTATATTTAAATTAACATTTTTGCATTAACATCTTTTATTATTTCCTATATTAATAAAAATAAAGTTGACTTTGACTAAGCCAGAATCGAAACATAAATTTGAAAAAGAAGGTTTACGCATTCGTTTTAATGAAGCAGTCGCAAAAGGTACCTACTCGATTGTATCATTCTTTTATACCTACCCATTGACTGTAGTAAGTAGAGAAATTTCCGCGTCTACTGTCTGCGATTTTCATAAAGTTTTGTAGTTCTAAATGTTGTACTTAAATTTAAGATTAGGTTTGATATTAAATATAAAAATAATTTCGTGTAATATCTCAAATAATTATTATAATAATTATTATTGCCTACGCACACAGGGTATTCGTAAGCTAAGCTGTAGGGATTTTTGAGTTATAGTTGGGGTTTAACAATTGAATTGTATTTTCTTTATTTTAATTTTTGAATATTTATTTTTGTATAACGATTAACCACCCTTTTAGAATTCACCCTGTATATGAATCAACGGTAGATGAAAACAGTGGGAATTGAAAAATGATTTTAGTTACTTAACTAAGTGGCTCCATGGTACAAGAGTACCATGAGTGGCTCCATCTTTTTTTCGACGGAATTGACTTTTATGGGTACAATATTTTTTTTCTCTCGTCTCTTATGTAAATATGTTGGTTTGTAATGTTTTAAGAGCCCTGTCAAAAGATCAGCTCCATTAAAAAATTTTTTAGGGGTCGCTCAAGATTTTTAAAAATTTCCAAAATTTTTTATTTAAATTTTTTTTCTCGTTCCGATATTATTTTGTAATTTAAAAATTTCAAATCGATATTTTGATTTCTAAAGGTCGCTCAAGATTTTTTTAACTTTCAAAGTAGAGTATTTTGAATGTTTTTGAGCGACCTCTGAATATAAATATCAACGAACTTTTAGCGACCTTTAGAAATCAAAATATTGATTTGAAATTTACAGAATTTTTATTATTTTCAATCAAAAAAATAATATCGAGACGAAAAAAAAATTAAAATAAAACAAAAATTCAATTTTTGACGATTTTGAAAATTTTAAAAAATCTTGAGCGACCCCTAAATTTTTTTTAATCGAGCTGATATTTTGACAGGGCTCTTACAGCATGATAAACTAACATATTTTTATAAGAGAGGAGTAAGAAAAATATTCTTTTTTTTGGGCCACCCTAATATATATATATAGAAATATCTTTTTCAAATTAGCCCAAGACCTAATTAAAAATATATTTAATATTTTCATTTTGTTTAATAGACTTTGTAATTAATTAATATTTCATTTAAGCCCGTTTCGGTCAAAATCGGCTCGAACATTCAATAGTTTTTTAAAAAGTGGCCTTAAAATTTTGTTTATAAATTTGGCAATGTGTTTGTATCATAGAAAGCTATTGATGTAGCCACATGCAATCTATAGTCGTCTTGGCGAATGTTTTGTGTCAAATTGCGTCATCAATGTCGAATGTCAAAAACCGATTTCTCGACATACGGTTAACCTAGCGGTCCTTGGATTATATACGTAAAAAAACAACAAAAATTGTTGTGAATTTGATGACGCAATTTGAAACATTTTCCGCGACAACTATAATTATTTGAACAAAAATATATCGTGCTGAATTTATGAATTCTGACCCACCTGTTTTATTTATTAAATTATATTAATAAAATAATTAATATTTACCCAAATATATTAAATGCATACATAAAGTGCATTCGCATTTTTTTTATAGATTGAAAAAAATTAAATATGTTTTTTCTTAGTAATTAAAATTGAACTTTTAATTCTTATATAGTTTCGTTAACGTGTAAGTGCAAACAACGCTCTAATAACAAAAACCCATCTTATGCATTTTTCTAATTTGCCATAATGCACCACTTAATAGACTAGAACGTAAACATTCTACGTTTACTTATTAACGAATGCAAATCAGGGCACACTTGCTTAACATAACAACGTTAATAATTATTAGGTGTGGATAATAAGCTCACTCGTTAATTAATTACGGTTTTTTCCTCTTAACTTTTCAGTGGTCATGCACAAAGATAAGGACGACAACGGTGGCCTCCATCGACCTAGACCCGACCTCACCGCATTTGATCATACTCCACTGGACGGGGAAATGTTCTTACAAGTAGTAAATTTATTATATGCTATTATTAACCTATTTAATTTTAATAAACTTGCAGGCTTTAAATGGGTTTCTAATGATTCTAACTTGTGAAGGCGAAGTGTTCTTTGCAACTCATAGTATAGAAGGCTACCTAGGGTTTCACCAGGTAAATTCAAAAAAACCTAATAAATAATAAACCTGAATGAATACCTGAATTATATTACTTTTCATTTTTTAGTCTGATATAGTTCATCAATCAGTCTACGAACTTGTACATTCTGAAGATAGAGAAGAACTACAAAGACAACTAATGTGGAACTCGTTTCTTCCGCCAGAATCAGCAAATATGGGCCTCCAGGATGTACTCCTTTCAGATAACTGTCACTTACTTGAGAGAAGTTTTACAGTGCGCTTCCGTTGTCTATTAGACAATACTTCCGGATTTTTGGTAAGGACAAAACAAAATCCCCGTTTTTTTTCTTCTAAATAAAATTTTCAGAGATTGGACATTCGTGGTCGTGTAAAAATATTGCATGGTCAAAACAGAAAGTCAGAAGATCCTCCGCTGGCACTTTTCGCAATTTGCACGCCATTCGGACCGCCCTCGCTTCTGGAAATACCACAGAAGGAAGTTATGTTCAAAAGCAAACATAAATTAGACCTAGGCCTGGTTTCAATGGATCAACGAGGAAAAATGTTACTTGGTTACGCGGACTCTGAATTGGCCAGTATGGGTGGTTATGACCTGGTGCATTACGATGATCTGGCTTATGTTGCAAGCGCACATCAAGAATGTACGAATAACAATGATTTTTATTTCATGTATTTTAATTTTTTTTTTCTTTTTAGTACTAAAAACAGGAGCTTCTGGCATGATAGCATACAGATTTCAAACAAAAGATGGGCAATGGCAATGGTTACAGACAAGTTCCAGACTTGTTTACAAAAATTCCAAACCTGATTTTGTTATCAGCACTCATAGACCTCTAATGTAATATAAAACAAATTGAAGCAACTTAAAGTGGAAAATAATGTTTATATAAATTTTTAGGGAGGAAGAGGGCCGAGACCTTCTTGGTAAACGCACGATGGACTTTAAAGTAAGTTATCTGGACGCAGGTCTTCCAAACAACTACTTTTCCGAAAGCGATCAACTTATATCCAGTAGCACCTCAAATGCGACACATTCCGTATCAACAACACCATCCAGAGTGAACAGGCGATATAAAACGCAGCTGCGAGATTTTCTTTCAACTTGCAGAACAAAACGCAAACTGTCGCACAGCTCTTCCAGCGGGCAAGTTACTCCACCAGCAAACGCTACGGTAACAGCGTCAGTAGTAAGTCCAATGCCTACTGTGGATTACATAACTGCAGATGGCTGTACTGCTTATAATATGTACACCACTCCTTATCCGACAGCCACACCAGATCACAGTCTTTCTTATATGAGCCATTCCAACTTCCAGCATAGCCTGTATCCAACTCCAACCGCTTTGGATAACCGTTACTTAACAACCACAGAGAATTTATTTCATCAATACAGGCCTTTAAGTACTTATTACCCTGATTATCACCATGCACCAGCTGCTAGTCCTTATGTTGGTAATGGTTTCTTAGAGATGTCATCAAGAACTCCGGCAGTTCCGACGTATGATCCTTCCCCTACATCCACAGCCCACCATGCGACTTACAGAACTACAGTAATGCCTGTAGATGAAAAATTGTACCCTTGTCAGCAAATCGTTGATACTTCCACAACAAAATACCCACCCTACGTTGATACGTCAAGAGGTTACGTAGTGGCTAACCCAACTAAATGTTTGGATGTAAGTTGGCCTTATTCTGTAAGTCCATCTTCAGGAATTATACAACCTGTACAAGTCATGAGTACCATAGACCTGGGGCATAAAAATAACGGAAAAATGTCCAAGCACTCGTCCATGGATGGAATATCATCTAACCACAGTTCATCGCCAGTAAACACGGGTTTAATAACGCCCAAGATGGAAGAAATTAAATCAGATATGATTCAGTCAGAAAGCCCCAACCATCACATGATTAACCAGTCGGTTACGCCGCAACATTTTTCCCCCGCGAGCACGCAGGAGATGCCCAGACAAACAGTTCTAATGTGGGGCTCAAACCACCTGCACACATCACCAACAAACAGATCCCCCCATGATAATCAGGAATACCTTACTAATCAACCTGAAGGTTGCGACAGTCTAAAGACACTGTCAGACATGTCCAACCAGGATATCTGCAAGTGGAATGTTGGCGGGGAATCAAAACCAGAACCAGTAAACCCAAACAATGATCCGGGCAGTCCGCATGCGCATCACTCCGCTCACCACAGTCATCATAATTCTCGCGTGGTCATGGTTCTATGATGAACGTGTTCGGTGTCGTTTAATGAACGGCTGTACATAAGTATAAATACTTTCAGTAAATTGCACATAATTTAAATTTACACCCTTATAATTAATACAGAAAACATATCTTCCTGCATTGTGTTTTTTTCGTCTACGTCTTCGAAACTTAGAGTTTAATTAACATTTATAATATCAACGTTTTGGGAGGCAAACCTGCTTCAAACAAATTATAGTTTACAAAATGCCTGTTTTCTAAACTAAGTATATTTTTTAAATCAAAACAAGCATATTTTAAGTAGATAATTAATTAATATAATTTTGGTGCAATCAGGTTTGAATCCTAAATAGGCGATATGTGAAGTGATTTTAATACCGTTTTTAGGGATCTTTTAAGGATACACTTTCTGTACATTCATAAAATAATTTATAAAACGCATAAAAGTGGAAAATAAACAAAATATTTTTTATAAATCTTTGTCTTTAATTAATTATTATTGTTAATTTATTTATGTATAAAATATATATAATTTATTATTCTATAAAAGATTGGTCCATTCTACCAACTAGAACATTAATACCTATTTGTAGGTATGTTTTAATGCGTAGAATGAACAAATCTTTTATACACTAAAAAAGGGAATACACATAAATATATTAATAATAATAATTTATTAAAGACAATTTGGGAACATTTTCCTAAATTGGCTTTTTCTAATTGGCGATTGGTTAAATCAATTGTTTATAACCTTAAATAATTTTGAAACAAAAACTTTTTTTAAATAACGTTTAATCCTGCCTAAAATTTTAATAATCCGCTCGGTGGCGGTTTTTAGGGGGGCGACAGAGGCGATCCCACCCCTAAATATATTGCTTTAACAAAAAACAGCTCAAATTAGAGCCAATTCCTTTTTTTTAATTCCGCGCGCGTCTGCAATACTCGTAATTTTTATCCCACTAGTGGGATACCTAACAACGTAAATATTATTTACGTTGTTAGGTATCCCACTAGTGGGATAAAAATTACGTTAAATGAGCTTATTATTCCTGTTAGGCAGGGCGGTTATAATGCTTATCGCTGTAAAAAGAAAAATACATCCAAAACACCTAAATCAGTCGATTTAAAAATAAGTGTTGCAAAAAATGATTCACCCTTGAAGAAACTACACCAATTTCAAAACTGGCGTGCATTTTGAAAAATATATGCCACGAAACAGATTATAAAAAATTATTAAAACGTTGTTAAATAAAAACGCCAAATTAATGCAGAATTCTATAATAAACGTCAAAAAATAATCTTTCGAATGAACCACTCGAGAGCTCAATAAATTAGAAAATAATTCTCCAGAATATTTCTTAAACTTGTTGTTATTAGGCAATAGCCACTGATGCTTTTGCCAGACAAGTTTTTGAATTATTTGTCAAATTATTTACAATTTATTCTCACTCTCTCATAATATTAATGTTGATAATTGCACAAGTGTGTATCTGGTACTAGAAATCAAAAATTGCATTGTACCTACGTATCTATCCATGGTAATTTTAAAAATAAGGTCAGTTTATATTTGAATCTAAAAGTTCAAATGTCACGTTTAGGAACAAAATCAATAAAATAAAATAACTTTGATTTATTTAACTAGTTTATTTAAGTAATTTTTTACCAAAATTACCTTCACTCGTGCATCAAAATAATCAGTTAATTTTGCATTCAAGCATATTTTAAACACTGCAGTTTTTAGGCAATAGGCTTTCAGGCAAAATTATCGATAATTTTGATGCACTTGTGCACTGGTTATTTTTTGACGTCTAAAAACCAATAGAAAATTTTAATTTTAGCAAATCAAAACATTATTATAGTGGAAATGTACTTTTTTTTTTGAAGCACACAATAATTTTCACATTATATGTCTATATCGAAAGATTTTTTATTAATTATTACTACACAGCGCGTCAAAATTAACGCATAACAAGTAAAAACTCTAAAACGCCTTTACCAATCTTTATAAAATTTTGGATAAAAATAATTTAACTTATATCTCAGTTTACGTGTTCAAGGGTTTTTCGAGAAAATATCCTTAAAGCCCTTTTATTTAATAATAAAACACGCTCGAAAAAAACTTTTAAAGGAATTTTTTTTTTAGTAAATAAAAATATGCTATGAAAGAACGTATTTTTGTTAGTATACTCAGTAGAGTATTACACTCGAGATTATGCGCATTATTCACTCGGATGATTTGAGTCTCTCGTCTGGCGACTCGAGACGCAAACCTCATTCTCGTATAATAATATACTATTTTTTTTATTTAAATGGATGAATTCATGAAAAAATTCGACTCTTTGTGAAATGGAAAATTTCTACAAGAATATGCATTAAACAGCAAATTTTTTTTAGGTTATTAAAAATTAAAATAAACCAGTAGAAAAAGCCAATATTTGGAAATAACGGATACCCCAATATCTCAATTATCGAATCTGTTATTAAAATAAATAAATGTATGTTTTAATTTATAAATACATAAGTGTATCTATTAAAATCACCTAATTATTTTTGATATTTTATTTAGCATTGTTAATAAATGCTTTAATAAAGCAACGGTACCGTATTTTGGTACACATATTTGTTATTTATTTTTACATTTTTATGCAGTGAAAATCATGCTAGTCATTTAACTGGTTATTTGTATATGTTGTACATTATTATTTATACAATTAAATTTAAGCTATAGGCTAAATTTAATTTCAAGAAAAATATTTAATTTTAATTTCGCGAAATAATATGTGTGTTATGTTTGTAATATTTTGTTTTGCAATACCATTAAATTAATTGAGATAATTTCTAATTAAATAGAACTTAAATTTGATGAATTATCGAAAATAATATATTCTTTAAATGTACATTAAATTAAGAACTACGTACTGTGTATGAAAAATGAATAATGAAAAAAAATTAAATAATATATTACAATATAAAAATTTGCCTTATTTAACCCTATTTTATAGTTATTAATGGTTTCATTATAAAAAAATAGTTTTTTTTAATATTTTATTTAACTAAACATGTTTAACATTTTATTATAAAGCAACTCTTTCACCTTTTTCCTCCTCCTCCTCCTTGTCATAATCTTCTTGCTTCTCGAAAACATTTTGAGACCCTTTAGAATTTAGTTCTTTTAAAAATACAGCATGATCTACTTTCAAAACTTCTTGGGAAGGAGGACTCCACAATATACACCTGTAAAAAAAGAAATATTTAAATTTAATGTTTTTTTTTTATTTTTACTTAATTTAATTTACTTAAAATATTAAAAGGAAGAAGAATAAAAATACACATAATTTACTAAATAAATTAATTTAAATAGAGGTTTAAATGATATTTTAAATACCCATGGTTTAACATATTTTTTTATTTAGTAAACAACTTTTTAAACAAGTGAAGTAAAACCAAAACGATTGTGGCCCACCACCCAAAGGTTCCAATACGCTTTTAAAACATTCACTTTTTATGATACATAATTTTTGTTAAAATACCTTTAAAACGTAATAATTAGTAGTGTCCGAAAAATATGTGTACAACAAAAGAACATAGATTCCTTGTCATAAAATAAGGTGCCGATTACTTACGTCAATTAAAAGAATAAACTACCGCAAAAAATAATTTTCAAGTTTAAATTAGATTTAGGTATTATTATTAATTTCCCTATTTTAAGCCAAGAAATGTTTTTAGTTGAACCTGTATTTTCAGGACACCCTGTACCAATTGATATGGATGCTATTCATCTCAGGTACAAAAACTCCTTGGTTATCAAACCAAGGGCAGCTTCCACACTAGAGACTCAAAAAAATTTAATCAAATGCCAGGTCACTTATTGTCCGATTTATACTCCCCATCAGTTTTTTTTAAATAAATATTTTGAAATTTTTTTTGACGGATTGATTTTAAGTCGGCTTTTTAACCATTTTCTGGAAAAAATATTTAGATTTATTTAATTAAATCCGATTAAGTAATTATTTTTTATTAAAAATCGAGTTTTTAACGGATTCGCCCCATTTTCAATGAGGAACGAATTAAGCCTGAATTATAGATTGCTTTCCTTCCTTCCTTCCTCCCGTAGAAGATGAACATTACGTAATTGTCACCATTAACATTTCCCGTGTATGAATTTTTAATACTTTGTGATAATATTTTGCAATTATAGTAATAAAAAAATCAAAGAATAAAATATTTTCTTAACAAAATCATATTTTGAAGTTATTTTAATATTTTAAAGTATCAATAATTGTTAAGTTTAATTAAAATTAATAACGGGCAATGTTAATAACATTTCCCGTGTATGAATTTTTAATACTTTGTGATAATATTTTGCAATTATAGTAATAAAAAAATCAAAAAATAAAATATTTTCTTAACAAAATCATATTTTGAAGTTATTTTAATATTTTAAAGTATCAATAATTGTTAAGTTTAAGTAAAATTAATAACGGGCAATGTTAATGGTGACAATTACGTCAAAAATGTTTATTTAAATCGTAGTGCCAGTTATAGATTCCCGTACCGTAAGGACGGCATTCCTTCCTCCCGTAGAAATTTTTAAGTTTTATCTTTCACCGTAAAGGTTTTTAATACGACCAATCACAGTGCTTGTTATGGACATGCGCTGTAGGCCCTACGCGCTGTCACCCTACAGTGTAGGGTGACAGCGCGTAGGCATAATATATTTAAAATACATGATTGTTTAGTATTATTTAAGATAGGTGTTCAGTTTATTAAATAATTTGTGTCTCTAAATAGGATATTTAGATATTGTTTATGATCAATGTCTTTCATTTTTAGAAACGTTGCTTTGTAAAACCCCGTAGTTTCCCGGTCTTGGTAAAGTGGGCAAGTCTTCCAACGTCTTGTTCGATGTTTTTTTTTCATTATACTGCCCTACTATGGAGAAAGGCAGTAACTACAAATGCGTTTTCTTGTGCTATGATAAAGCTATGGACATTTAAAATGTCACATTTTGTATCTTAATTCAACAAAGAAATGCAGTAAACTATCTTTTAAGTTAAATAAATCAGTTAAATACCTACTGCTTTTTATAAAAATGTAGTTTATGCTAATTTCCCACAAATTTCTTGTTTAGCAGTTACTTAATGCCTTTCTCCATAGTTGGGCAGTATACAACAAGCTGCCTGGGCAATTAAAATTGTGATCACTGCACTAATATATAAATGATAATCTTTCATATTTACACACAATGGGTAAAACTCAGAATATAAACAAAAACAAATGTCAACCATTTTAGGTGTCATCGCGCATGGTTACGGAATTTTACACGGAAATCTATAAATTGACTTTTTACAAGACGCACAAAATTTAATCGTACGGGCACGACTACGGGAGGAAGGAAGGAAGGCAATCTATAATTCAGGCTTTACCGTCCTGAAGCAACTCTCTCAAATTTCTCTTCGTAAGTTATTTACGGGAAACACAAACGTGGACGATTATAAAAAAGGGGAAAAGATCTAAACATTGTATTAAATAAATACGCTAATGAATAAAATTTCGACGTCACATTGACTTTTCCAAATGAATCATTTTAAATATTAAAACGTTCATTACAAAATTTGTATTTGGACTGTTTCAGTTATAAACAAGTTGTTAATAGGGATTTAAAATGACGGTCATTTATTTATGGTACAAGTGAAATGTCATTTATATGTCATTTATGGTCATTTTTATTTTCTTATCTTCAATGTAGATATAGAAGCATCAGACAAATGACTAAAACATTAATAGACATAAACTTAAACATAAATTTATTTGAAGAAAACAACATTTAAACAAAATCTAAAATTTAATAAAAATCTGGTTTACCTATAAACAATTAACCATATGCAAGGAATGCGGTCGATGTTGCCAATGGTAAAAAAATAACATTCCCTATTGGGAACATTCAATTATATTACGTTGGCATTGAAAATTTGAATTTCCCGCACAAACTAAATTAATTTTTAATTTGACATTTAAGTAGTTCAATTGTATCTTATTTTCTGTCATTAAATTTAATTCTTCCCTTGTAAAATCCAATAATGTCCAAAGTAAACCAAATACATGTTTACATCTTCCAGATATGCCCCTACACATGTGCATTTTGCCCTTTTTATATTACCGTTATTGTATATTTTAACAAATACTTTATAAATATTTTCTTTCATGACTGCTCGCACATCTGCTTTAATAAGTACCGCATTCAATTCGTTTAAATCATAATGTAACAAAATATTTTTAACTTTTTTTGCTTTATAGATCCTATATCCCAATACATGATGTTTAATTTGTCCCCCAGTAGCTTGATCTTTAAAGATATATATAATAATTATATAATATTATTTTATTTTCATCAAAATCATTCGGAAAATTTCTTAAGTTTTTTGTCCAAGGACCACGAGGAAGAGAGTCAAACCTATAAATATTTTTACCCTATTAATAATTATTGCAGTCATTTTAATATTATCTTACTCATTTAAATGAACAACAGGTTCCATCTTTTTTTTTAATAATAATAAATAATAATAATTCCCACATTTGAAATTCGCACCTTCATTTATTATACAATATTGGAACTACCTTATTTATCTCTGGGAACTACTAGAATGTATGTCAGTTTGTGCGGGAAATTCAAAATTTCAGTATAGCCAACGTAATATAATTGAATGTTCCCAATAGGGAATTTTATTTTTTTACCATTGGCAACATCGACCGCATTCCTTGCATATGGTCAATTATAACTAAATTTTTGTCAGTTTTATAGTCATTAGAGATGCGACTTGAAAAAAAACGGTCCGTTTTTTTTGTTTTTTTTCAGGTTTTTTTTCATTGTTTTTTTTCAAATGGTTTTTTTTCACATTTTAGGTTTTTTTTCAAGATTAGTCCCATTTGCCTATTTTTTTATGTTTCCATGGACTAAAATTAGCCACTAAATGACAATTAGTAAATATAAATACAGTATCGCGCTATGCACGCGCCACAACCACCGATTTGACCAATAAGGGCCGCGCTTGTTTTGATTTGGTCCTAAAAAAAGTAACTACAGATAATATTTTTGATTCAGCGCGTGATTTTTCAAAAAGCTACCAAAAGTGCTTTTTTCATGATTTTTTAAATTCATCCAGAGTATGGAATTTTTTTTTTTCAAAAAAACAATAGCAAATTCTTGTAGAACATTTATTCAGTCACAACATTCCGTGGACCAAAAAAGAAAGCAAAAAAATCGATTTTTTTTATTACGGTATTTGTTAGGATTGAGCGTTGCACGTTTTTTATCTAAAAAATCTCAAAACTATAAACTTCAAGCTTCAAATTGCTTTTTTTACGGCTCCAATACGACCATTTTTAACAAAGATACAGCTATCCGAAAAATCGCAAACAAATTTTTTTATCCTTTAATTTTTTGTATTAGAGTAGAAGTTTTACATTGCTACTGGTTTCTAATGTGGAAACTACCAAATAATAAGAAATCAGATTTTTAGTCTTGGTCAAAATTTTCAATAATGAAAAATGTAATATATTCTACGTTTCATTTTATTATTAATATACATTTTACTTAAAATTTCATTTTGAAAAAAAAAACAAAAAAAACCGTTTTTTTTCTAGGTTTTTTTCATGTTTTTTTTCACATCTGAAAAAAAACCGTTTTTTTACATCTCTAATAGTCATCGACATCAAAGTCATCTAATGACTTAGAAAGTGCAGCTCCCACCTCCCGGCTTGGGAGTTTTTTGTGTTCGCGTCGGTGGATCGCAAGCCAGACACGCGCCAGGCGGGTGGAATCGAAAATCAGCTGATATTTTGGTGACCTTCATATAGTTTAATGACGATCAGTTATTTTTTTGACAGTCAGAAATTTAAACTGAAAAAAATTAATGACAAGAGTGTCATAAAAATAAATGTCATGGCCGTCATTTCCATTATGACCGTGACATGACATTGTCATAAAATAGCATATTCTGTAACAAGTTTGGAATACCGCATATTCCGCTCGAGTGAAGAGTTTGTCACACGAGCCGAAGGCGAGTTTGACGGTTTCACGAGAGCGGAATATGCAATGCCAAACGTCTTTCAGACTATACTTTTTCTACGTTTCCAAAAAATACCATGGAAAAATAATTTAATTGGAAGAAAGTGAGGTTGGATCGGTCTAAAATTTGTTAGATATTAAAAACAGAGATGTCGCCACGAGTGTTTATTCTGTCATCGGATGGTAGAATATTTCATTCTGTAACACTTTACGGAATATATGTCATTCCATAGATAAAAGTGATATTAGAACGGTCAAATTCTGTAATAGGAGTAGAAAAATTTGCTTACATCCCTATAAACAACTTTGCAAAATTGTAAAGAACAACTGTTCTTAAAGCATTTTATTGTTTTCCTAATTTATTAACACCCTGTAAATCTAATCTCAAATTTTTATATTGTAAATTAATTTTCTTAACAAGCAGAAGTTTTTAAAAAAAAATGACTTTTGTCAGAATCATATGTAGAAGCAATTTCACCACATGGAAGGCAAAATTTCAAAATCACCCCACCCCAATTAAGGACCACCCTAATGCATTTATATATATATTATTACCTGTCTATAAAAGTACCTGGCCTTCTGGGTTTCATAGAATTAACATCATTAATCAAAACAGAGAAATTTTCTTCCAAGTGTTTAATGTCCATATCCAGCTAAAACAAAAACAAAATTAAATTATTATTTAATGTCAAAATTCCATGTTACTTAAATGGTAAACAAAAAAGGCTACGAGGTCAGGGTAGCGTATTTTTTTATTATATTTTATTTTAAATTCTTTATTTTATGTTTCTGGGAGCACATATTATGTGAAATTTCCTAAAGAACATAATTTGTTCTGCCATCGGTCTTTGGTCATAAAAAATCACGACATGATTTTTTATGTCGTCGATGTTTGGATATTCATTTTTGCGACACATTCGTACATTGAAAGAAAAAGTATGTTAACAACTGAATCAACTGTTTAACATTCAATATTTTCTTGTATTTAAATTAACTATATATAGTTCATTTAAATCCAAGAAAATATTAAATGTATTTAACCACAAAAACTGCTGATTCAACATAATTGTTCTCTTAGTGTACGAACGTGGCGCAAAAATGATTATCCAAACACCGTTGGCATAAAAATCACGACATGATTTTTTGTGCCATCGGTCAACCGCAAACAGCGATTGCATAAAAAATCACGACATGATTTTCATTTCTCACGCAGTGACATCCGGATGATGTCCGAATGGACAAAATTTGTAAAAATCACGACGTGACGTTCGTATGATTTTCATTTATTACGCGGTGACTTCCGTATAATATCAGTATGAATAAAATTTGTGAAAATCACGACGTGATGTTCGTATGAATATCACGAATGTTGTCCGGGCGGTTTTTGGTTATCATTATTTACGAAAAAAACCCAAATAATGTCAATAATATGCAATAGGAGTAGAAAAAGTTATTTATAATATATTGCTGGTATGAACTATTTAACTGTAATAGCTTAGATGTAAATGAACAGTGGGATATATTTATGAGTACATTTTAGTCAATGTTCAATGAATGTTTTCCACTAAAACGAGTAAAAGTTGGGTCTAAGACCAATAAATACTACGCATATAATGCTGAGGTAGGCCGCATAAAAAGAGATTTGGATATTTTATATGTTTTAAGTACTTGTGATGGTAATTATAAAAAATTGTATAACTTAAAGAAAAAAGAGTACAATTCTGCGTTAATAACATCTCGCAAAATGTATTATCTATTCAAATCAAATATTCACTTCTGAAAATAAAAGCAGAACAGTTTGGAAAGTTATAGACAGTATTAAAGGTGGCAATAAAACATGTACTAAACGTTAAGGGTAATCCTACTCAGGTAGAAAATAAATTCAACTATTTTTATGTAAACAATGTATGTGATATTGTAAAGAAAATACCTGATGTTAATTTTAAGCAAAATTTTTACAACAACAAATCCATGTTTTTAGAACCAGTAAGTCCTAACGAGAAAGGAGACAAAATAGTGCTAGCAAATTACAGACCCATACTGCCCTACTATGGAGAAAGGCAGTAACTGCAAAAAAAATGCAAAATGCGTTTTCTTGTGCTATGGTAAAGCTATGGACATTTTGTAAACGAATTCAACACAGAAATGGAGTCAAATATCTCATAAGTTAAAAAAATCAATGAAATACCTACTGCTTTTTATAAAAATGTAGTTTATGCTTATTTTCCACAAATTTCTTGTTTAGCAGTTACTGCCTTTCTCCATAGTAGGGCAGCATAAGTTTATTACCAGCTTTTTCTAAGGTTTTCGAGATCACCATGAGTTCGTGTATCATACAGTTTTTTAATAAAAGTAACATTTTCAGAAACAGTCAACATGGCTATAGAAAAGGAATGTCCGTTAAAACCGCGTTGTATGACTACCTGCAGGATGTCCTAGATCTAACAAAGGCATTCGATTGTTTGGACTATAATATTCTATTTGAGAAGCTAGATGGATATGATGTACGTGGTTGTTCAGCGCGGTGGATCAGATTTTACTTAACTGGTCGCATGCAGAGAGTTGTAATTCATCAAAACAGTACTAAATATGTATCAGATATACTAAATATTCAATTAGGGATACCTCAGGGTAGTGTACTCGAGCCATTATTATTCAAAATTTATATTAATAACATGGGAATTGTTACAACTTCAAAGAATATAAATTTAATTAACTTTGCCGGCGAACTTCATGGTCAGATACAAAAACTTGGTGCAAGCAACAGCAACTATCGCGAACTTGTATGATCACATCATACTCTATATGGGTTCCAATAAGCTATTACTATACGAAAATAAAACAAATTCTGTCCTCTTCAAGACAATGAGATCAAATGTCTGTACACCATTACATACTGTATTGAATAATAAAGAAATTAAGTATTCGTCAAGTGTCAAATTGCTTGGTATTTGGATTGACGAATATTTAAATTGGGATATGCATATCGAAAACTTAGTGTCAAGATTAAATGGAGTATGTTATGCAATGCGAATACTTAAAAATTATGTCAATGTGGATACTAAGAAAACGGTATATTTTGCGAACTTCCAAAGTCTGTTAAGATATGGTTTGATATTCTGGCAAGGACGAGTTTTTCTTAATTTTTTTGTGTGCAAAAGACGCTCATATTTTATCATTGAAAAAAAGTAAACAAAAACAAATTCGGTGCAAGCGCCAAGTCAAACCGCAGCGCTCGCCCCATAAAGCAGAAACGCTGCGCTCTCAATGGCGGCCTTAAAAATTAAATAACTCCTGTAATTTTGCGAATTCGAAAATATGGTAAAGGCAATTTTGTCCTTTTATGAAAAAATACTTACACTTCCTATAACAGTTTTGATGCAACCAAACTCCTTCTCATAATCATCCTTAACAGCTTGATACTTTACTCCATTTAAAAATTTGTCCACAACTTTTCCCAAGTTTACATCCAAAGTTCCCATTTTGGGATTAGGGAACTTCTTTTTCATTAAACCTCTTAACTGAACCAATTCTGGTAAAATGTTGGGATGTGCAATACAATATTGAAAATCTTGCAATGACACATCCCCATTTTGAATTTGTTTAATTAAATCACTACCACCAGAAAGGGTAGCTCCTGCTGTAATTGCCTCATTTTGCTCATCTGGGTTTTTGCTGAATACCACTATCGTACGTTCTTCCCCATGATCAAAGTTATAAGGAACTTTGACAACACTGGTAAAATTGTCTACAAAACGTGTCTAAAAATATTTAAAATTTAATAAAATGTAAATTTAAGTCAATTTCTAGAGGTTTTTAAGGCATAGTAGATATACTAAAAATTATTTAAAAAAAGGTTTATAAAGGAGTAATAAATTGTAAGGCTAATAAAATTATTAATGGTTTTTGGTGATTTTTATTTGTATATAATAAACGATCTTTCGGACTTTACACTAGTTGAAGGAATGGTTTTCAAGAATTCGTAGGCACATTGTACCCACGTTTACCCCCCATTAACAAATAATTCCATTTCTTTTATAACTTTTGTAACTTACATTGAAATTATTAAGTTTGTGACATTTTTTCAGGTTTGACATTTAAAATATGTTATATTATTATTATATTATTATTATGTACATGAATTTATTCTACAGTGAGCTGTAATTTTACATTTTCTTTGCTGATTTTATGCTAAACGCGATAGATGGAACCACTCTTGCTAGGTAATTTCAATGTATTTTCATTATTGTACTATTGTAAAAATTTGACTTTTGAACTGCGTACAAAAATGAAGTATTTCAATATATGCTTATCAGTTGTATATATTATAAAAAATGTCATACGCTTGAAAAAAAAAGTATATATTATTCTTTGTAACTTATTACCAATATCCCGGGATTGGGACTTTTGATGCCGGGAATTTCGGGATCGGATTTTTTACGGGACCCCGGGATTTTGGGATCCCCGGATTGACACCTTTGGTTTAAACATGTTATCAGAGGCTTAGCTAGGGAGGCAACCCGCACCCCAAACGGGCGACACCCGAGCGCAAATACCAACAAAATTTAACAAAACCACAAAAAAGGACATTACCGCTAAAATTCAACGATAATTATGTACTACATACATACTGTAACATTTTGTGAACGTACTTGTCTATAGAATATATGTCAATCGCAAGTAAGAGATCCACCCCTTGTAGATACATAATAGCCCGCCATTTTTACTTACTTCATACATCTCCATTAGAGATTATACGTATATCCGGTATTCGACCTATCCGGCCGGATACCCGATATATATAATAGTGAGTCAATACCCGGTATTCAAAAAACTACGACAATTCATAAAATCAACTGCAATTTGTAAGGGGTCGTCTATTAAATACGTTGGTATGTTTTTAACTTAAACCCTCCCTCCCTTCACACCTCGGTGAGATTTGGGAAGATGTGGTGGGTCCCTCTATTTATCTGTTTAAATTAAATTTTTATTTTAAAACAAATATATAAATTTGAAGTATTCAAAAACTATGGTATATACCTTGAATAATTCAATTTATAATATTTTCAACCGCCTGATATCCGGCCGCCGGTTATCATGCTTAAAATCTTGCTGGATATCCGGTATCCGGATAAACAATTATCCGTTTTATCTCTAATCTCCATACACCAATGTATTCCACACCAAATCGACCACTTTTACTCCTTCAATTTGTTTACCCCACAAAAAACGTTTCTGTGAATTTGTTCTATTTTTTTCACAACCAAAATTTAAAAAATGGTGCTTCTTTAAATGCTATAACTTTTTAAAAAACTGTCCAATCGAGATTTTTTTAAAATTTTTCTATTTTAGATGTATTTTTATGGGAAAATAGTACGAGTGAAATGTTTAAGATTTTCAGAAAAAACATTAATTAATGCCGCAAACAAATAAGATAGCAAAAAATCAATTAAGCAAAATATAAGGAAAAGTTGGCCCACTTTGGTGCTAAATGCAGTAAATTCAATTTAAGTAATAAAGGATACAAGATCATTTTTATAAACAAAATTTGTCCTTTTTATTACTTAAATTGGATGTATTAGACGCAAAATAAATCAAAGTGGCTGATTTGGCATGGAATGCCCCATACAGGGTATCCCATAATTAGCGTGCAATACATTGTACGTACAAAAATAAGTAAAAAAGTTATTATATACATAGGTCAAGAAATGATTTCTAAGGGAGCTTAGACCCCCGGAAGGGGAGCCCCTGAAGATGGTTTTTATGTAATATCTCCAAAACCGTTTAAGATAGAAAACTGATATTTATTAAACTCTCTATGGCCAATAAGATGTAATAATAAAATTTTTAAAATTTCCATGTAGGGGGGGTAAGATAGATAGAGGGGTTAAAACCAACCTAACTTTTTTGTACGTATCTTGTGCCAGGGTTTGATGTCAGATTATTAAATATCAAAGTTTAACACAAAAAAGGTCCTCTTGTTAAACTTAGATATCGTAAACCGTTTTCGCTTAAAATCGATTTAAAAATAACCTTAAACCTGGCATAAAGATTCATAATTAAATCACAACTAGAAAAAAAGATTCAGCGTAGGCTAGGGAACACGGCTGCCATGTTTAGGAAAAACAGGAAGACAGGTGACAGTAGAATATAATAAGTGACAGGGTATTTGAAACTAAGAAGAAGATTTATTGAGTAATTTTTTGTAAAAATTGAACATTTCACACTTCGTGTATGGATTATAATGATCGTGCTCGGGCAGGTGAGCATGAATACCGACGACAATTTCCAAACAAAATAGCTCCTACACGTCAAATGTTCAGCTGCAATGCAGGTCCTGCATACATCAAAATTTGACGAAAATGGCAACTTTAGACGTGTTTAAGAGCATAGGAATCATGCAATTAAAAATGCATTGAAGCATTTGAATATGACCATAAAACAAGCATATGAACGTTATCTTTTCTGATCTGTGGATGAGCCGTAAGGGGCCCTTAGCTTGGCCAGCCCAATCTCCCGACTTGAACCCACTAGACTTTTTTTTGGGGGGCATCTAAATTTTTTGTTAAAATAAATGTTCAAAATGATCTTGTATTTTTTTCATTTATGGTGAAATTTTGACGGGTAGGACCTCTTTGGTTTTAAAATCGTCGTCGGTATTTATGCTCAGCCGCCAGAGCTCACCTCATAATTTATTACATGAAACTGTCACATGTCTTGAATAATTTTTCCTAAAGATGGCAGTCGTGTTTCATGGCCTACGCTAAATCTTTTTCTAGCTGTGATTTCATTATGAATCTTTATGCTTTGTAAGGTAATTTTTAAATCGATTTTAACGGTGCACGATATCAAAATTCAATAGGACCTTTTTTGTGTGTAAAAATCCGAAATTTCATATTCTGACATCAAACTCTGGCACAAAAAAGTTAGGATGGTTTTAACCCCACTCCCTGTCTATCTGACCCCCCACTTCATGGAAATTTTAAAATTGTTATCATTACATCTTATTGGCAATAAAAAGTTTGATGAATTTCAAAATTTTGACTTTTTTATCTTAAACGGTTTTGGAGATTAAATTAAATAAAAACTATCTTCAGGGGTTCCCCTTTCGGGGGAGATGTTTATAAGGATTTTTTTTCTTTTTTTTTGTACATAGAATCTGCTCTTAAAATATTGCACGCTAATTATGGGATACCATGTATATTCTTTCACGTTGATGTAAGAGTTGGGTAAAAATGGCGGCTAGCACGATACATAACGCGAGCTCGTGCGATTTTCTGTTTGGTCGCATGAATACCTGTCAAAAAAACTATTTAAAAACATAACAGATATATATTAGAAATATTATTTTTTAATATTGCGCATATAATTCAGTAAGTACTTGCAGCAAACATTTTTTGTAATTTTTTATAATTTTTATGTAATTTTTTAAACAATTGCACCGTCTACCGATTTGTTTTTTTGCGTTTTAGAATAAAATGTAGTATTTTAAAGTTATATAAAAAATATGTATACATTATATGGGTTTCTGCTTCATTCCCTTCACTTTTGAGGAATACAAATTTTTTATAACGCATCTTTTTTCAAAAGCATTCAACTTTGGGACGAAACCCCTTCTAAACGGTGGGTGATAGACATATGCTGTCGCAGGATAAATACTTAATGGGGAATATAGTCATCTTTAATCTTTAATTTAATAATAACGTATTTTTTGTAAATCGTACCGGAATCGCAACGTTTCCAAAAAAACAAAAAATACCCCCTTTAGGAGAATGAAAAGGGAGGTTTCGGGACGATTTTTTATAGGAAAAAGTTAGAGCACCCCATGATCTACCAGAAAAAAAATAAAACAGAACTTGTGTAGAGTTTGCGATGTTAAACCTGTTTCCTGGACTATTAAAGCCTAGTATTTTGAAAGAAAAAACCGAAGCATTCATTAAGCATTCCATAAAAATTTGGAAAAAATTGTCGAAATTTATCAAGGAGTGAAGTTATTTATATAAAAGAAAAGATTAATTTTCAGTTCGGTTTTGTGTTTCGTGTTGTTCAGTAGCTCTATGAAAGAGTATATGAAATATAAGTGACTTTTCGACCCAGAAGAGGCAAAATCGGACTCCCAGTTAGGGATGCACCGGATCGGGTATTTTGCCGATCCGGCCGGAACCGGAATTTCGGCCGCTGGCCGGACCGGATCGCCGGAATTCCGGCCGGATCGGGACCTAAATTTAAAATGTATGTGCATGCCTATTTTTATACGTAAAACATTGAAAATATTGAGGCTGATTTATTTTTACTTTTTTTAAACTAGCTACAGTATGCAGAGTGTTTATTACCATTAATTTTACCTAGATAGAAATTACTGTTTATTTAAATATTAATATTTAATTAGCGTTAACAAAATTAAAACAATTCTACTCATTTAATTGGAGAATAGCAGCCACCTGCCAATAATAAAAAAATTAAAAAGAAGTCGGGGAACCACAGCCATCGGTCTATCATAGGCAAGGAAACACGCACACCCTTCACTGTTGACCAATTACAAAATTCCGGCCGGAAAGCGATCCGGCCGGATCGGCCGGATTTAGTGGTACCGCCGAAATTCCGGTGCATCCCTACTCCCAGTCACTGGTTTTAATAAAGAATTTGTAAAATTATATGGAAATAACTAAGAAAATTCTGTGTATGAAGCCATGTGTAGTACATAGTGAAGCGAAAAGATGAAATGGTTCTATAAAACATAATTAATAATTAAAGAGTTAAAGCTCTGCTGGGTCCCCAGTCACACAAAAATTACTGGACATTCACAAAAGATGGAAAAGAAAATTCAAGGAAAACGTATCCCAATTCTTCTCCTCCCATACCACTGAGCTACTGGATATTAACCTCTTCACTAGACCGTAGACATTTAACAACTTTCCTGAGACTAAGAAGTGGACACTGCCTCACTAAATCACACCTGCACAGAATAGGATTGGCGGACGCCCCAGCATGCGAATGTGGCGCCAACGAACAAAGAATCCAACACCTACTCCTAGAATGTCCACTCTTAATAAACCAAATTAACACACTTTACAGAAGAATCAGTAGCCAGAACATAAATCCCATTAACCTCTCCACGATTTTAAACAACCCTTCCCACGATGTAGTAGTAGCTGTAGTTGCTTTTCTGGAGAGTTTTAACATTAAGCTGTAGTAATCGCTTTTTCTTAAATCACGCTTCACATGGTCAGACATAAACCCAATATTCCGCTCCTAATAACCCACTTTTAAGCACGTTGGTTCAATATACCCCGGATTAGAAGGAACACAAAACCACTGGTCGATATGGTTGCATCCTAACTGAGGCCAAGAAATACAGAAAGAAGAAGAAGAATGACTATAGTGTCATAAAACCTCCAAGGTTGAACAAAAATACTCCCTGACAGCTTAGCTGCATGGTTTAACTTTTGGAAAATACGGGATTTTGCGCTTATGTTTCCAGCAAAACAATGTTTTCTTCTTCGAGATGAATTTAAAACGCACGACAAAGCAGCGTCTTCTGCCGCAACTCTTTCCGGGGAATACCGTTTTCTTACGAATATGTATAATAAGTAACAGATTGCTTTGAAATAGATGCGTTTAAAGTCATACTATGTGCAATAATATTTTTATAAATAAAATTACAATTTACAATAGTAAGACCTTATATTAGCCGGTCTATTGAGAAAAAAGCAAACGTTTATTTTTCAGTTTACATCGCTAACTATACCTACTAGGGTGTCCGTTATTTACCAACTAGTTTTTTTTTGTTCGCAGCGCCCCCTAAATTTTTTTATGACCTAAAAAAAATTATTAAAAAAATTATAAAAAAAAATATTCATATTAAACCGTGCCACAAAGACGATACATTTTACATTTAAATAACATGGGGTTTTGGCAAGTTTTACATTTAATTTTTTTTCTCCCGAGCAAGTTAATATACAGCAATAAGAGACACATATTTTTATAGAAAATTGAACGCTGTACAAAAAAGCTTTCCTATGATTTTTTTATAAATTCACTGATTTAAAAGTTATTTAAGGTTAAAGTGAAACTTATAGTAATTTTTTCGATTTTTTTACTTTGACTGCAAAAATATAATTATTTTTATGAAAATGAATTGTTTATTTTTGAAAATATGAGATTTTATTGTATTATTGAAAAAATAAAAATTATTGAAAAGAGATAAGTAAAAATTATTGACAAGACATTTCGATAAATTCATTTTTTTTATTACATTAAACGAATCTGGTACTAGTTTTACTCAATTTTGTGAAATTCTACAAAATTTTATACGATTTTATAAAATTTTATACAATAAAAAGTTTTCCTTCAATACAGCTAATGACGTAGAAATTCTTTTAACAATTATTTTTACGACAAAATATAATTCGTAGTTACGTATACGTTGTCTTTAGTATGAGATGTAGACATTTCCGCTACACCAATTATCCTTTTCAAATAAGTTAAAATATATTTATCTACTTCTACATTGACGAGCTGTGACTTTATGGCGCTTTAGTCACGGACTGAAGTTGGCAATAAGTAGTGGCTTTTGGGAATTTTAGTCACGGGCTGAAATTTGCTTTATTATACATTAGAGAAAAGTGAGGTTAATTCCATTGACATTTAACAGATGTCAAATTTTTAACAAATATAATTCTTCTTTGTGTTCGTCGCGACGATACGCGTAGATAAAGTATACTTAGTATGCAACTCGCTTTATAAACTTATCTAGACACTCGTTTTTAATAAGCTTCGCTCGTGCCTAATAAAACTCGTACATGGCGTTTTGATAAATTTCACAGAAATAAAAAGATTATGTAAAAAAAAGTAATCGTTCTACGTTTGAGTAAAACTAGTACCAGATTCTTTTAATGTAACCTTAACTTGCTTCAGAGAAAAAAAAATGTAAAACTTGCCGAAACCCCATGTTATGTATCGAAACCCCATGTTATGTATCGTCTTTGTGGCACGGTTTAAAATGAATATTTTTTGTTATAATTTTTTTATAATTCCTTTTAGGTCATAAACTAAAAATTTAGGGGGCGCTGCGAACAAAAAAACGGTAAATAACGGACACCCTAATACCTATTGCAATTATAGTATTAAATGATTTTTTTTAATCTTCTTTTAAAAGCATTTTGATTTCTGGCTACCCCAAGTGTACAATGGTAGACCTAAGGTGACCAGACGTCCCGGTTTTCCCGGATTGTCCCGTTTTTTGGATTACTTACCGTTTTTATTTTCAATCAATATTATCAATAAAATATAGAAACTTATTAAAGTATAATAATTTTTTGCCTTTGATGTATTTTTCTTTATTCTGGTAATTTTGACTGATTTGGACGAACTAACAGACAAGCTTATGCAATAAATTTGAAAAACTAGTGGTAAATGTGGTAGACAAACATTTTTTTAAATATTTATCCAATGGACGGATGAGAGAAATCAATCGACACAAAAGTAAATTTTTAATCAACGCGAACTGAATGTAAACACTATCTGAGTCACATGTTCAGAATCGACCAATAAGAACCACACTTATCCTGCAAACATGTTAGCACGCGTCTGGGCGTTTTTGTTTGGTTCAGCTTGGATTTGAATACACTTTAGGTACAGAATAAAGATTTTTGTCTAAAAAACCTAAACCTTTCATGTTCAGAATTTTTTTTTAATTAAAGACAAAGATATTCTTTTACACAACCAGTGGCGGCTGGTGGATTTTGGCACACATGTTCAGAATCGACCAATAAGAACCACACTTATCCTGCAAACATGTTAGCACGCGTCTGGGCGTTTTTGTTTGGTTCAGCTTGGATTTGAATACATATAGGTACAGAATAAAGATTTTTGTCTAAAAAACCTAAACCTTTCATGTTCAGAATTTTTTTTTAATTAAAGACAAAGATATTCTTTTACACAACCAGTGGCGGCTGGTGGATTTTGGCACACCCATATCTCAGTTATTAGACATGGGACCCACATCAAATTTATATGAGTTTATAATGACATTATATAGACTAGTTCTGCGCAAGCAGAATTTAAATTAAAGTTTGCGAAAAAAAGTTAGTTTTTAAGTGCAACCCCCAGCCTCCTGCCCCTCCAAATTAAGATAATTCAAATTAAAGTGGTACACTATTTAATTCACTGAAGTTTATCGACAAATTTCAAATTTTATTAAAAAAATTCAAGAATTACAGGTTTTATACCATTTATAATTTTTTTTAAATTTAGTAAAAGAAATAAGAAAAACTATAAATGGTATAAAACCTGTAATTCTTGAATTTTTTTAATAAAATTTGAAATTTGTTGATAAACTTCAGTGAATTAAATATTGTACAACTTTAATTTGAATTATCTTAATTTGGAGGGGCAGGAGGCTGGGGGTTGCACTTAAAAACTAACTTTTTTTCACAAACTTTAATTTAAATTCTGCTTGCGCAGAACTTCTCTATATAATGTCATTATAAACTCATATAAATTTGATGTGGGTCCCATGTCTAATAACTGAGATATGGGTGTGCCCAAAATCCACCAGCCGCCACTGTACACAACATATCTTCTAATGAAAAATATAAATTTTCCAATCCCAGCCATGTCTTGGTTTTGCCAATATAAAATCTGGTCGCCCTAAGTAGACCACTATAATAGAATGATTTCTTTATTTTATTTTTATTTTGCCAGAAATTTGACTTGACTGCCTTTTATTTTACAACATTAATATCATATGATATTTATACATGTATAAATATCATATTTTTGAACCCTGGGTATACAAAATGACAAGTTTTAAAATTCTTACTTTTTTTTCTCCTTGCATATTTAGTTCAATAGTCACATGTAGATTTGCATTGGGTTTATTATACATTTCAGGGCTATGTGTTTCCTGATGACATTTAACTGCTTCAGCAAATGGATATACAACCCATTTATAATACTTTGCAACATAAACATCGTCTGTAGGATTTCTTTTCCAAGAATCATCAAATTTTAAAGGTTCCCTTTGAGCTAAAAGTCTAAATACAACAATGTATTGTATTCACATTTGTATTTATTATATCTTACTTTAACTTATTTCTCTGATTGTGGGGTACAAAACCAACTTTTACTACTTCAGCTTTAACTTTTTTCTTTGCTTTCCTATCCCTAGTACCTTTCCTGGCTGCATAATTTCGCACTTGAATAGATTTTACTGACTGAGATAAAATATGGTTTACATTTACATGGTTTTGAACTATTGTAGAAAATTGCTCTAAAAGGTAATAAAAATTGTTAAAAAATAAATTTTACAAACTATAATACATTACTTATGGAATTTAGAAACATCTTTTAAAATACCAGGATGTAACCTATAAGTTTATTTTTATCAACAAATGTGTTGTCGATAAAAAAGGAAACATTACTGTAATAAGTGCGTTCGAAATGAGAGATGTTTTAAATAACTTTTTTAAATATTTATTTCCATTTAAAAGTAAACTTTATTGTTCTATTATAATAAAAATAAAATAAATTACGATTTTAAGCAGGACATATCAGTAAAATGAAAAAAATGTTTTATCGTAAAACTTTTACGTCGAAAGAATTTGTACCGAAAGAAGTTCTTGCAACGCTGTCATACTTTAGGGCTGCCCAGTGTGGCCAATAGAACCAAAGAGCCCCAAGGAGCGCGTTCAAAAACTCGCAAGAGTGAACTGTGGATACACTCCAACTTGGAGTCTCCAAGTTTACCTTGCGCGTTCGATTTGTCTGGTATACACCTAGATATAAGAAGATTATTAACCTATAACCTAGGCCGTTCCAAATTATTCCGTACACTTCAGGGCCGGCTTTATTTATTTTGTATATTAATATTTATAATAGTATTTTTAAACTAAATTTGGAAAAAAGTAAGAATGCAAAGATATAAATTAAATTCTTCTTCTTAAATTTTATGGCCTTTAGCTTCTTAGGAATCTATTTGGCCAATATAAATTAAATGGTAAACGGTATTATAATATACCGTTTACCATAATTATATCGTCGCTGTTCTGACAAAGAGGCGTAAGGGACATTTTTCCATATTGGAGTTAAGTTCACTAGGGGATTTTTTACGGTTGAATCTATGATCTGACAAAAGGAAATACATACATACATACATACATACATACATAATGTATGTATGTATGTATTTCCTTTTGTCAGATCATAGATTCAACCGTAAAAAATCACTTAGTGAACTTAACTCCAATATGGAAAAATGTCCCTTACGCCTCTTTGTCAGAACAGCGACGATATAATACACTAATTTAACAATAAAATAAATAAAGAATATACAAGGTCGATAGTCGGTACCAAAGAGTTCTTTGGTCGGTACTCGGCCTAAGGGGTTGAATATCCACGAAGAGAGAAGGCGGGTCGTGGCCATAGGGCCGTATCCCAATTACGTACACTTCAGGGCCGGCTTTATCTATTTTGTATATTTATATTTATATTTTTAAATTAAATTTTGAAAAAAAGTAATAATGTAAAGACATAAATTAAATAATAATAAACGGTATAAACACTAATTTAACAATAAAACAAATAAATAATATACAAGGTCGGTAGGCGGTACTCGGCATGAGGAATATCCACGAAGGCAGAGGGCACTTACGGCGGCTCGTGGCCGTCAACACTTCGGTACTAAAGACAAGATTCAGTATCTCACAGGGGGGCAATCAAATCTAAAGAGGTTACCAGGAACCGGAAACTGACTCGGACAGAGACTTTCAGAAGTACACCAACTAGGACAGATTCTAGCAGCGTACTAACACTTCTACCACCATTCATGAATCCCAATTGAATGGGGTTATTAGGTTGAGGAGGATTCCGGATTGTACTTAGTTTTGGGTCAGTTCAATGTCCTCCAAAAACCATTTTTTACCCTCCTTGTCCCGCTCTCCACTAAACTGGACTATGGTCCGACCCGGCGACAAAAATCCGGGAGTGTCCTTAACCATCGACACTGTCATCCACGACCTCCTAGGGGTAGACCTACCAGCCGGCGTAAAAATTTCGGATCCAACAAACACAGGTAATGCTGAGCAGTGGCGGGATACGTAGAAGAACGGAAAGGGGGTAAAATAACCCTGGGAGATTAGTGTAAGGAAATGTCGATGGGGTTTGCCATACGTTCCCATACTCATACTCATACACATAGATATAAGAAGATTATATTCAGGAGCATCAACTCTGCATGAGAAATTCTCATTGAGAAAAGATAGAAAACGCGTCGCTTGGCAGCAGGACAAAGCCTGATTAAAGTAAAAAATGAAAATACGAAATCCGTAATGCCGTTTATAGATTCCTGTTTATCTTCTACGGGAGGAAGAAAGGAAGGAAGGCAATCTATTAATCAGACTTAAAGGAGGGGAAGTGTACAACAGAGACCTTGTCTCTGGTGTACAATGTGCACAAATGATTATAAATCAACCGCGCATAGACCGTCGACTCACGTGACTGACTGCACGTGCATGCATGGGTTGGAAGATTGACAACAGAGATAATTATCTTATTTAAATAAGGTTGATTGACACTTAAAAGAAAAAAAAATTCCAAGATTTCTGCATCTTTTAATTTTTTAGCGTACCATAACACCATAAACCCTGATTTATAGATTATAGATTTGTATGTCTTGTAAACAGGCAATTTATAGATTCCCATACCGCATTCTGTAAGCATGCGCGTTGACAACAAAAATAGTTGACTTGTTTATTTTCTGTGTTTTAACCTTAAAGCTGGATTTATAGATGTCCTTCCTTCCTTCCTCCCTTCCTTACGTTAAAGATGAACAATACAAAAACCGTTGAGCTGTTTATAGATTCCCGTACGGGAATCTACAAATGGCACTACGATTTTCGCATTGTTTATCTTTTACGTGAAGAAGGGAGGAAGGAAGGAAGGTTTTGTTACTTAATTAGTCTTTAAATAATTGCTCATGCAGCCCTTTGCCATAGAAAGAAAACATCATTAATGATTCTGAATTGATCCTGAACAGTTTTTAAATTATACCTGGATGACATTTCCGGATTTAAATAATTTCGTTGGGCAATTGGAACCTCTTTTAAAACGACAAAGAATTCAAAATAAAATATGTCCAAAAACTTTTTTTTTAAATGCAAACTTCTCGCGGCGACTTTCTCGCCTCTAGGGTGAACCAATAAAATGCCAGAATTCCATAGTTACGCTGTTGAGTGAAGTCTTTAGTCAATGGTTACGCATTTTATTACAGCGACAATATTTTTTATCATCTTGTTTAAAGCAGGGGTCCGATCATGATGATAGTAGGGTCCGATCGCAGAACATAAGCTGGCGCAAAGCACCCTGCGACGTTGCAATTTCATAACGTGTGACCACAAAACTAGTTTTGTGCGTGTGACTCATAAGTAATCTTATTGATAATTGATTTTAAACCACAAAAAACTATTTAAATTTTCTAAAAGTTAAAATCAAAGGCGATTTTATAAATAAAAGTGGACTAAACAGTTTGAAGAAATTTAGTTAAAAAAATTTAAAAAATAGCGAATATTTATTTAAAAAATCCCTAATTTCGATGCCTTTATAAACCTTGTGGGGAACAAACCCGACAGTTGGCAAGAGTGGTCCCCAGGAAACAAAAAGTTAGCAGCACTGGAGAGAAATGTCAATCATAGATAATAAATAAGAGTTCGAGTAGCGAGCGGTACCCAATTTTTACAATTTATAGTTCGGGGAGTAGCACTGAAAACGATGCGTTTACAGATTTATAGATTGCCTAGATTCCCGTACGGAAATCTATAAACAGCACTACGGTTTTCGTATTGTTCATCTTTTACAGGATGGCAACATTGCACAGCAGTGTCGCCAATAAGAGAATATATTCTACACTATTTTGTAGGGATGGCAAAACTATCAGTAATTACTGATAGTTATCAGGAAGGACAAATATCAATAAGTATCAGTAAGGGGTGTTGTTACTGATAGTAATATTTCTACTTGAAGAAATTTTTAAGATAACTGTAAAAACCTTACTTTGTCAGAAAACAATAAAATGCATATTACCCAAAAAAATGTCGGAAAAATCAATTCCTGACTTACCGACCCAGTATGTTAAGTTGTCTTATAGATTGAGCTAGTTAGTAACTAGCTCCATTTATGAGAAAACTTTAAAACTTTCCAGATACATCTGGTTATTTTGCATTTTTTGATATCTCCGAGTTTTTATAACCTTAATTATAACTTATCAATAAGGTTTCTACAGTATAAATTCTACCAGAATCTAGAAACTTTATGGATTGCTTTAACTCTAAACGAGTGATTTTGTCGCGTTTTTAAACAGTGTTGTTTTCTGGCGTTAAAACATGCTGTTGGAAAAAAGTTCTTCAAAAAAAAACTACTTTGCAATTTTTCCAACAAAGTACAAGTGGACAACCTCTTTCTATAATTATTTGAATACCTTTTCCAGCTTCCTTACCAAAATTGAATAACTTTTCGAATATCCCGCTTCGAAGAGGTGGTGGAAGAAGTTATTGATATTTACTGCCCACATAGCAAAATAATATACCTAGCATGTGCTCAGAATCAACTTCTTACGTATAAGGATATTAGGAATATGTTCTGAGCATATGCTAGGAATAATGCTTTTATATACTAGGGAAATGTTTAGCATATCCTTTTGGCCACAAGTAGCATGTGCTATGCACTACAATTGGGAATGTTCTAAGAATATACTGGGAATACTTGGCTATATATACATAGCATATTCTGTGAACATACTTGGTAAGGTAAAAATACAGCTACCTATATGCTTAATAACATTTATTAAAAAAAAGGTTATAATATGTATTAGGTATTGTGTTCTTCCTCATGCTGTTTGTCAGCCAATCTAAAAAAAAAATATATATATAGGAAGTATTATTATACAGGGTGTCCCAAAAAGAATGAGACATAGTATTCCTTACGCAAAAATATTGTTTGATGTGGCTGACTGTGTTGGAGTCAAATGAGCCAGCGGCTTAAACTCAGATTGATCACTTCGTGCAAAATGAATAGTAGGACTTACTTCAAACAGACTTGAATCAATATTATTACTACACTTGTTACTACATGTTGGTTTAGGAGATGGTGGAGATGAAGAAATAGAAGTAGAAACCTTAAGAGTGTCATTTAAAGTAAGCAAAAGTTCTGCTTCACGAGTTTTTTTAGTCACCATACGTCTAAGCGAGCGTTTACTTTTTGGGTGTTTTTTTGTGAACATTGTATGTCCTCCAACTCAGCTTAACCACAACTAACTATAATAACTACCTACTTACACACTAAAGTATGTATCAATACTATAGTATACTATAGAATGTATACTACATTCTTAGCACACAACTAACCTTAAAAAGTCAAGCTTTTCAGTCTTTCCTTTCCAGAATTCAATAAACTCGCACATCAAATACAAAACTTATAGGGACTACACCTCTGTGTATAATATATATAATATTTAGTGTTTTCTTTTAGGGCTTACACCACTTACGACCTACACCACAAAATATAACCCCCTTGTCAGAGGAGTGCAATGCAATGCCCACAGAATACAATGCCCCCGTGGCCACCGTTTACGCACTATTTTAACTGCACAGCACTTTAACCTTTAACCGTTTGTTTTGAAACTTTTTTACGATAAACAAATCCTCGGACAAAAGACAAACCAATAAAATGGCGTGCGGCCGAGTTGACATACAACATATGTGATATCAGTAATTCACTCGAAATTACTGATAGTTATCAGTAGAAATTTTTAGTGATAGTTCCCATCCCTACTATTTTGAGTAGTTTAACAACTTTTATATATAGCCTGTATAATAAAGGTATGCTGCCCTACTATAGAGAAAGGCAGTAACTACAAAAAATTCTTAATGCTTTGTCTTGTGCTATGATAAAGCTATGGACATTTTGTATCTTAATTCAACTAAGAAATGCAGTAAACTATCTCATAATTAAGTGTTTAATGGTACTTTTATTTGTTATAAAGTAGTAATTTGTTAATTAAAATACAACCTTTTATTTTTACTGTATTGGCACCGCTGAATTCACGGCCTACTGTTATTTATTTATCAAGCTCTTCAAATATATTCTTTTTCTATGCTTCAAATGGAGATATATCTCTACCTATAGGTACTTACATAAATACACATTTAATTTTTTCCCGTATTTTCGGCCGGGTTGTATTTTCGGCCGAGGTAGTAAGAAAAATAGTATACACTACACGGGCAGAAAGTGTGAGAGCCCTGAACTGCGCCCCATGATGCCCTCGGCTTCGCCTCGGGCATCATGGCGCGCAGTGCAGGAATCTCACACTTTCTGCCCTTGTAGTGTAATATACTATTACTAATCCCTTCTCAATCCTTTTGAGAAAAGTTTCAAATGATTATTATTATAATAATAAATAATTTATTAACCTTTTGAGCATTAAAATAATTATTAAATATGAGTTTTGCAAATAATTTTACTAATATTATATTGTTATGATTGACTATAGTCAATCATAACAATATAAAATATTTCATTAATTTAGTTTTTGCATTTAAAGTTTAAATTTTAAACTTAAAAAAACAATATTATTATTTGTAAATGAGTACTAATAAAAGATCGTATCAGGTAATATTTCGCATAGTTTTAAAGGTAAAATTCCAGGTAGTGCATGTTTTGAAAATAGCTATTATCCTTAGACTTGAGGTATTATCTAAAATCTGTATTAAATTAAATTACTTTGGAATTAATTTGAAAGTGCCGGTTGTATAACTTGTTCACGTGACTTTCAAACGAGTTTTTAATCGCTGTGATTGGTTAAAAAGTCGTCCATCTAGCGGATATTTTGTGAGCAACATCCCTTCTACAAAATGGTTTCTAAATTCCCCACCCCGCTGGTATGTCATGTCTGTGTATTCCTATCGTAGTTGTTAATTAGGATAGTCTTAACGTTAGATTTAACTTAATTTTAAGTTTAGTGTAAGAAGTCTATTTAATAATGGAAGAGTACGAATACGGGTACGTATTAATTTTTGTTTAGTAAAAGATTTGTTATCGGCGTTCGGTGGTGGCGCCTAAATCACTTTACGCAAAATTGACGGAAGTTGTGTAGCTGCCATTGCGGTTTGGTCGCTTCATAAGTACGTGGTGTTTGTTAAAACGACCGGCTGTTAAAAGAGTGAGGTGCATTTTTATTTTTTTACTGAATATTATGCGAATGTTGAGAATACCGCAAGAAGTTATGGACGACGACGAGAAAGGGTATTTATCTCTATTTTTTAATTTATTTTGATTCAACTTCAACTCGATATTAGGTCACATCGTGTACACACAAACGGTAGCGTTTATTCAGTAGGCATCGCAAACTAAAATTGAACTAAAACCATCTAAATTATTACAAAACTTTTTAAAATACGAGATAAATCGTTTTAAAGATGTTTTTAAACTTAACATTTCCTTTTTCATCCACCGTTCACCGACCCCAAGCCGGATCGTTGTGAACGGTCAAGGAACGGAACCCGTTGGAACTTTGCATAAAATTATTAAACAAACAACTTTAATGTGTACCCTTATACTTTTAACTACAATAATGATTTCTGAAAATACTTTTTTGGTATGAAATGTGACGTTGTATGTAAATAACGCCGTTATAAAATAAATAACCAACCGTGTCACCTAAAACGATAACGGTTACGGTATGGGATAAATGGTTTAAGCCCTTAGACAAATTTAATATTTATACTTAATTAGGTACAGTTGTATTCATTAAAAAAGCGTACAAGAATTAGAATGAGAGAAACCTGTCAACATTATTGCGTAAAACCGGCTTTCCACTGACTTAAGTCACTATAACTGACAGTAGAAAATAAAAATGCCTTGTCAGTTAAAAAGGCTCAAATAGTATCAAGAATCGAAGAAGAATGGTCAATTCGTACCGTGGTATAATAGAAATAAAAAATCTATATTAAAAATTAAGCAACGCTGGGAACAGGAAGATTTACTAAACCAAAAAGTTGGTTCAGGTCGTCCCAAAATGTCCACCCCTGAACAGGATGCTGCTTTTTTGGGATATCTGAGGATTTATGGGAAACTATACAACTATACTATACGTACTATACTGCTGGGAAGATATTAATCCAAATATTGTATTAAATTTAATTCAGTTCATCCCAAATAGGTAGATTGGCTCAAGTAATAAAAAAACACGAATGCATGACTAAATATTAAATTTTTTAATGTTTGTTTTTTTTTCATTTCTAAAAGGTAAAATTTTTTGTAATATTTAATTAACTTACGACGTCATTGCTCTTTATAACCTATAGTAATTATTTTAATGACTTATGTCAGTGATAAGCCGGTTTTAAGCAATAATATTATTTTGACAGTTTTCTCTCATTCTAATTCTTGTACGCTTTTTTATTGAATACAACTGTACATGTACAAACATTCATAATTTGTTTAGTTTATTGCTAAAATCCTTTCTAGCAAACCTTAATAAGTAAATAATATATTATTTATATATTCATAGTTATGCCACATTATCATTTTCATTCAATTAAAATTTGGCTCATTTCAAATTTATAACCTTGATTTTTAAGTAAATTTTATTCTAATAAAATAATTTTTGTAGTAAACTATTTGTGGGTGGTTTATCATGGGAAACAACACAGGATAATCTACAGAGGTACTTCTCAAGGTATGGAGAAGTCATTGATTGTGTGGTGATGAAAAATGCTGAATCAGGTAGATCCAGAGGATTCGGCTTTGTTACTTTTGCAGACCCATCTAATGTAAATGTGGTTTTGCAAAATGGACCACATACTTTGGATGGAAGGTACCTAAATTTAAATCCTAAGTGATTTTATTTTTATAATTTGTTTAAATATTATTGTAGGACTATCGATCCCAAGCCATGCAACCCGAGGACCTTACAAAAACCAAAAAAGGGAGGTGGTTATCCCAAAGTGTTTTTGGGAGGTTTGCCATCAAATGTGACTGAAACGGATTTAAGAAGTTTTTTCACAAGATTTGGTAAAGTTATGGAAGTTGTCATCATGTATGATCAGGAAAAGAAAAAGTCCAGAGGTATGTAATAGTTATTTACCTAACTAGTGCAGATAGTGCTACTTTTACTCACGCGAATGCCGCTTTTATTAACAAATTTTTTGCATCATAGCTTTTTTGTATAGCATTTAATTCCCTACCCAAATATGTGATTTCCATTATTGTCAGTATATTCATCAACAAAATTTCAAACCAAAGTTTTTCTGTGTTAAAAAGTTTTGATCACAAAGGGGACTGGTGGTTGGTATATGGGTGATATGTAGAGATCAAATTTTCAGTTTATTTTTATTAATTTAAAAGTATTTAAGCCCCTGAGAGCATAACTATTCAAAAATACCCCAAATAAAGACCACCCTATTATATATACAATGTATCCCACTTACCACCCTCATAAATCTGCATTTTTTAAACAATTTATTTGTTGGATAGATTTCTGAAAAATTCTTTAAATGCATGCCACTTGTTTTGTCAATTAAACTCATGGCCAACTGTGATCTTTTTGGGGTCAAAACTTTTAAAAGTACTATCAGGGATTTTTTTAAATCAAAAGTAACCATGGGAAACCAGCTGGGAATTTTTTTAATTTTAATAAAGCAAATTACCTTTATTAAGCTAGTACAAAGGGAAAACTCGCAAGAGTGCACTCTGGATACACTCCACCTTTACCTTGCGCGTTCGATTTCTCTGGCATATACCTAGATATATACAACTGTCAACTGTTCAAAAACAGCAAGTATATGCCCAGAGTCCACTATGTTGTCCAAGCTTTAGACTTGGTTAAGTTTTACTTACCCATCATGTGCTTAGGGTACATCAAACAATAATTTGAATTTACCTTTATATAATTTATTATTATCTGTTTAAAATTCAATATAAAAAACGAAAAACATTAAAATAAAAAAAATTATTTTAAATAAATAATTAAAAAAATATCAATTCTAAAAAACAAAACAAAATGTATCATAAAAACAATAAACCATATAACTAAAGGGTTGAAATACAATAATTTAATATTTAAGCAAAACTAATTGGTTTTTTAACACTACAACATAAAGTTTCGAAAAACTATTTAAATATTGATTTAATAAAACATGGCAGAAGTAAAAAGGTAACATTTTTGCAAGGAATTGACTTGTTTTGTTTGGACTGGTGATTTTGGGACACTATGTATACAGGGTTGAATAAGAAAAAAGTTCTCAAAATTAAAAAAAAAAAATAAACAACCTTTTAAAACCAAAAATCTTTATAACTTTGTTATTCCTGGAAATTTTAAAAAGTATGTTTTATATGTAAACATACACATTTATCTACCTTTTCATCCAATTTGTGATATTTTTCGCCTACTAGATTTTGAGTTACCACCACCATCTTTTGATTTTCATATTGGAATTTACATGGTTAGATAGAAACAAAATTCAGGAAATCCAACAATCCATTAAAAATCAAAAGAGTGTGATAGTAACTCAAAATATAGTAAAAATAAAAATGTAGATAAATGTGTATGTTTAAAACGTACTTTTTTCAAAATTCCCAGAATTAACGAAGGTATAACGATTTTTAATTTTAAAAGATTTTATTAGATTTTTTTAAATATTTTGAGAACCACCGTTTTTTTTTCAGTTTATAAGTTGAATTAATAATTAAGGAGGTTTGGACATTGAGGGAAAAGGGGAGTTGCTTTTATTTTATACTTAATGCATAAATTATATCAGTAGGTACCAACTTGCAAAAACAAAATTTATTTTGTCATTTTATTATATTTGATTTTCTAACTGATTTCATAATTATTTTAATACAAAAGGCACTATGCAGGCACTACTATGCAGTGTTATTTAACACGTTAACTGCCATGTGTATGAAAAAAAATACACGCGAGTTGGGTCTATTGCGCCATGTGTATGATTTTGTATAAAAGCACAATAAAATTATTTTAGCCATGTTTTATATGTTAGAATGATCGTCGTGGAGTTGATGTACACCGGTAGAGACTTAGCCGACATTTTTTGTTTAACATTTTTAAGATGACAAACCCTTCATTCAAAAGTATGTTTGTCAAAAATCGAGCCAAAAATTAAGTTTGTGCGTAATAAAAATGTCGATGAGAAAAATGATAAAAAGATTTTATTTCCATCGAGTCAATGAAAAAATAACAATAAATTAACAAAATAATGCTGGACAAAAAATGGTAATAATAACAAATATTTATTTCTTTTATGTAATGTTGTGGGTTGCACAGGGGTAGAAGGGGGTAAAATAATAAAAAAAATGGACTGATGTATTATAGAAATTGTGGAATATTTTTATTGAGAATTAAAAGCTAAAAACATGGTGGCCCAGCGGACCTTACTTGTAAAAAACTCATGGCAGTTAACGTGTTAAAATCTAAAAATAAGTTGTAAAAACGAAGAAAGTCCACTACACAACAATATTAAAAAAAGGTATGGGATCAAAAAATATAGCAACAGACAACATGCAGTTTGTTGAATGCAAAGAAACTCTAAAGAAAAGAGAAGAAAACCATGGAATTATTTAAAAAGAACAAAAAATTCAATAAATAACACAATTGTAGTTTTTTTTAAATAATTTACTTTAAAATCGAAATTGTGGTAGTCACCAAATAAATCGTGTTCGTAATCTGGTGCTGCCGGATCTTCTAGACGAGAATGACAGATTGATAATTTTGCTTGGACAAAGTCAACATTATAGTTTATTATTGCAAAACTATACAGTGAAAGTTAACCAAAATTTATTTGGCACAGGTATAGGTGCATACGAGAAAATAAATTCATTATCATTGCAACGTTAAGATATAAGATATGCATTAATTATAATTATTATAATTATTAAAGACATGGGCTGTATAGGAGTTGTATTTAATTAACGCATATCTTGTAACATGACAATAGGAAATAGATTTTTTTTCTAGCATGCACTTGAATTAACATTCACAACATAATTTAGCAATAATAAACGGTAATAGCACATGTAATTTTTGCAACTTTAATAACTACTACAACCTATAATTTTTAAACTTCCTTAACTGACCTTGTAGCTCTTTAAATAAAATTACCTATAGAGGTATACATATTAAAGGATACTTGGTGCACCCTGTATATATATATTTTTTATTTTAGGTTTTGGATTTTTATCATTTGAAGATGAAGAGGCTGTAGATAGATGCGTTAGCGAGCATTTTGTCAACTTGAATGGAAAACAGGTTTGTATTTCTTAAACTCATACCCCTCTTTTAAACCGTCTGGTTTATTATTTGATCTTACCCTTGCTCAAAATAAATACAAAAGAGTACACATTTTATATGATCCAGTTTTAAAGCAAAAAATTCAATGTTTGAAACTTTTATATTGAAAGTAATAAAACTGTAAGTATAAATTTGTTGGTAGGTGGAAATTAAAAAGGCCGAGCCCCGTGACGGTAGCGGCGGCAATAAGATGGGCGGCGCTGATCCATCATCTGCTTGGGGCCCCCCACAACCGCCCATGGGCATGATGCAGGGTCCCAATGGACAGATGGGAGGTCCACCCATGAATCTTGGGGCCCCGATGGGTCCCAACATGATGCAGAGTTATCAAGGATGGGGCACCTCACCTCAACAGCAAAGCTATGCTGGATACGGTACTCCCTCAGGTCCTGGTTCATATCAGGGTTGGGGAGCTCCACCAGCGCCTCAAGGACCGCCACCCCAGTGGGGAAACAACTATGGTGGCCCACCTCAACAACAAGGTTATGGATCTTACGGTAAGTTACGTTTATCGTTGCTTAACTTTGAGGCTTACATTTAAAACTACGCATTTTAAGATTTATTACAAAATTTTAAAATGTTGCTTTTAACAATTGGCTGTAGAATTTGCATTTTTCTGTGTTCTTTAGTAGATACGAATAATTTATATGACTATTAGTTCTGTCTGATGTAGGTCCCAATGCCGGAAGCGGTGCGGCTAGCTGGAACAGCTGGAATATGCCTCAAAACAGCGGATCCACAGGCCCATCCGGTGAGTAGCGCAGTTTCTTTCTCATTTTTATCCCTTCAACTTGAAATTGTATCATGACACCTGCTTTTTTACTTATATTACATAATAGTTCTAAATATACCAAAACCAGTATCCACAAAATAAACTTTTCCTGAAGCAATAACTACACTGGTATTTTTTTAAACTTTTTCCATATTCCATGCAATGGTTGTACTTCACTTTATAAACATTAAAATATAATATTTTTTCCTTTTACGAAAAATTTATTCCATTTTAGTGAAAAATCCACTTTGACAGGCAAAAATGTTCACATTAAAAAAATGTCAAAAAATCTGTTAACTTTACAAAATGAGCTTGACCATATAATTTTTCATGCTAAAATTAAGCGAAATTGCATGGAATATGGACTTTTTAAATTGTACAGTGTTATAGGGTTTTTAAATAATTTTGAATGTTCATAAAAAATATTTTTTGACGTATTTTTGAACGTAAATAAAAAAGGGATACTAATCTAGCTCAAAACTATTGTAATGTATCTTAAAAAACTTGGTTACATAGTATGTAATACATACTGATACTTTATTTTTTTATTGGAATTTGACGTCAAAAATTTGGGGGTTTTGTTGGCAAATTTTAGGGGCCCCGAATTTTTAATTGGCTACATTGAGTAAAACAAAATTATTAATTAGTGGATTTATGCAGCACAAATTATTTTTTTCATAAAAATTATGTTTTGTTTTTAAAATTTCTTTTCACTTATAATTTTCTGATACTCTAGCCATTGTTAATTATTATTTTAACATTTACATGAAAATTTCAAAGTAAAATTAAGGCATTGAACAGAAGTACCAATTTTTATATATTAAAAATACCAAATTATATTCATATACAGCACCAACAAAATCAAATGTGTCAAATTCTGAATTAAAAAAAAACTTTATATGCAGTCTGATCCCATACAATTCCAACACTGGGCAACAAAACAAATTTTTTCGGGATTTTGCTTTTAAAAATATAAATATTATTTATCATCGGGTTACTGCAAGAATAAAATAAGTAAATTTTTAAATTTTCTGACAAGACAATTCAACTACGAGTATAACCGAATCGGTTAATTAATTTCGAGCGCAAGAAAAATTGTATAACTTCATTTTTAGTAAATAGACCCAATAAAAATAAGTTACAAATTCAAATAACTCAAAACAGTGTTTTGGGAGTTATCTGGTTTTTGCAGTAACCCGACGATATATTATATAGAGCTCAAATTTGTTTTCATCAATTTGAAAGCGTTTATGCCCCTTCCAGCATTAAAATTTAAAAAAAAAACACCCTAATATATACTTCTGTATATAATGGGGTGCTTTTTTAAATTGCAATGCCTAAATTGACCACTTTTAAACTCGACCTATTTTGATTTGGCTGATTTTTATATGTTGTACTACCCCAATAAACGTTTTTGTAAATTTTTTCAAATCTAACTGAAAAAAGTTATGAATAATAAAAAAATGGTACTTTTTTTAATTGCTCATAACTTTTTTAAAAACTGACCAATATCGACCGAACTCTCGAAGAAGCCAGACGTTTACTAGAGCGCTTCAATTTAAAAAATTAATCAAAAATATTACAAGGAGCTTAAAAACGCAAGATTTAATTCGAAATCTTTACTGATAAGCAGCCTTGTATTGTCTATCAAACCCTCTCATGGGGACTAAGCGTAATATATTCATTACTTGAAAGAAGTACCTGAATCTTTCTACTTATTTTGAACAACCCGACATTGACGGCAATACTGAAGACAAGTAATGGTTTCGCACAGCGGGTTAAATAATTTGCGCATATCAGGTTCCTAACTTATCAGCTTGGTAAACAACGACTGGCTGATACCGCTGTATCTTTTTTGAAGTCAGTACTTGGAATGATCAGTCGAATCTTCCTTAAAGCTAGCTACCAAATACCGGAATATCCGACCAGGAAGGGGAAGGGGAGACAGACACAGAAGAATAAAAATCAGTACACGACAAATAAACGTTAGGCCCTAATAGCGAAATAACAACACTAGCTTGATTTCACATCATACCTAGGTTTGGGCCAGCTTTATTGTCCCCTGAAAACCAAACTACCCTCCCAGTCCCCAACTCCCGTAGTCCTCTGGTCGTATAGTCCTGTCCGGCGCAATTCCGTGAAGGGTTACTAAAACAATTGTTTGTATTTTTAAAAGTCCGTTTTAAACCCAAAAAATTTAAAAAAAAGGTTGGTCAGTTTTAAAGAGTATTAAAAAAGCACCATCGTTTTCAAAATTCATAACTATATAATTGAAAAAATTCACACAAACGTTTTTAGTGGGATAGTTTAAATTTCTGCCAAATCAAAAGAATTCAAAAGTGATCGATTTGGCTTGGAATCCCCCATATATACAGGGTGTCTCAGATTTTTATCGGAAAAATTTAGTAGTCAATATAATTCGAAAAAATAAGTAGAACGTTTTATATGAACTTGCATGCCTTAAAACTTTGTTTTCAAGATAGAGGGTGTTAAAGTTAATAAAAGAATTATGGTTACCACTGCTTTTATATGAGTTTGATATTATATTTAGCACGATGTTATAATTTTTCCTATTATAATTGTAGTTACCTACCATTAAAAAGTTTTAAATAATATAGAAAATTCTGGGAAAAAGTTTGTTTTATGCATAGAATTATGGACCTCTAGTTATCAAACACCCTCTAGAGAGCAAACATTTTTAGGGAATTATTTTATTAATATAAAAGCATTTAAGTCCCTGGAAGCATAAAAATTTAAAAAAACAGCCATATTAAGGACCACCATATACAGGCTGTCCAATAACAAATGGTACACAGCAAAACCACACATTCCTTATGTAAAAATATTGCAATGTAACAAAATTTACCTGGTTCAAGTGTTTTTGTTTTCGGTTTTATTAAAGCACTTAAAAAAAATGTTTGCACAAAAGTTGGTATTTGAGGGTTTTTCAGGACGGAAAATTTAAATTTCATTAACTTAGGTATTGATTTACATTGTAGAGGTGCCCTCTGGTCTGGGACACATAACATACTTGGTTTTTTCCAGTTGAAAATAAAATCAAAATTTTAACCTTGATACCCTGTATGATACATGCTGTATCTTGCTGTGTACCATTACCCTGTATATAAAAAATGGTGGTCATTAAAATTTTTTTCATACTTCTTAAAAGTTTATATTTTGTGTAAAAGACGAGGAAAATTAATGTTTTGAAAAAATGAAAATAACCATTGAAGTTTGATGAAAACGGCCGTGTTTTGTAAATATCTAATAAATATGCAATTTTAAGGAAAAAATCCTTAAAACGGTTTTATTGAAAATTAAATTCTCTACAGAAAGCCTCTTATCCATTTTTTCCATAAAATGTGTATTTATAAAGATATTTCAAAAAAATCATTCGTGAATTTGCCCTTTTAAGTGAAAATAAATTATTTTCTTATTTATTGATATATTTTGTCCCTTAATTCTCATCATAGTGACATACTATTATTAATAATATTAAATAATATCATACCTAATAATTAATTTTTAAAAAATCTAGGAAAAATTTACGAATGAATTTTTGAAATGTCTTTATAAATACACATTTTAAGAAAAAAATTGATGCAACAATTTTTGTAGATAATTTAATTGTCTATATTTTTTTTCTTAAAATTGCATATTTCGTGAGATATTTCCAAAAAACTGTCTTTTTCATAAAAAAATTGACTTCAACCGTGTTCTTTAATTTTTTTAAACATTAATTTTCCTCGTCTTTTTACACAAAACTTTTTAGCGGGCATCTAAAGAAATGTAATTTTAATGACCACCCTAATATACAGGGTGTCCGGGAAAAGGAGGTCAATCCGTTAACCATATATTCCTTGAGTTAAAACAATAAGACTTTCATAATACCATTTTTCAATTTAGAGCTTCATGTTCGATATACAGGGCGACAAAGTTTAAAATTTAAAACTGATTTTTTTTAATAATTCGAGTAATTGATAAGATACTAAGTTTAAATTCGGTACACTACTTCAACATAAATAGTTACATTTTTTGAGACCAACAAAACAAAAAACAATTGTCAAATAATCAAAATAGGGGGGTCCAGTACTCACTGACTCCCCCTATTTTTTAGTACGTGCGCCAATGACTTCCAAACGGTATTTTTTCAGGTAATCATTTATTGTTAAAAAAAATTTGTCTCTTATAAAATTTTGATAAAATGATTTGTTTTAGAGATAATTTGTAAAGTATGGGTCAGTCCATATCAAATCAACCAAACGTTCTTCCCCCACCATCTCCGATTTTGATCATTTTTGGTAAATTTGTTTACCTCACTAAAAAACTCAAAAATCCCATACATGAATTTTTTTCGATAGGTGGTTTTTGTTTTATTGATTTTTGAAAATCAAAAAATTCCGATAAATTTGGGTCTTGCAAGTACTTACAAAAATAGCGATATCTCGTAAACTATTAAAAGTAGAAAGGTGAGTGATGGCTTATTTTAAAGCCCTATTAAAGAACTTTTTTATGATATATCACATGACCTACATTTTTTCAAAAAAAATTTTTTTTTTGAAAATTTGATATGGACTGACCCATACTTTACAAATTATCTCTAAAACAAATCATTTTATCAAAATTTTATAAGAGACAAAACATTTTCAACAATAAATGATTACCTGAAAAAATTCCGTTTATGTTGAAGTAGTGTACCGAATTTAAACTTAGTATCTTATCAATTACTCGAATTATTAAAAAAAATCAGTTTTTAATTTCAAACTTTGTCGCCCTGTATATCGAACATGAAGCTCTAAATTGAAAAATGGTATTATGAAAGTCTTATTGTTTTAACTCAAGGAATATATGGTTAACGGATTGACCTCCTTTTCCCGGACACCCTGTATATATATATTGGGAATCTGTTTCTTAATATTACATGATTCAAGTTTTATTCAAGGAGTCCAATGTTTTTATTTGTATGCATGCTAGGATTGCCAGATCTCATATTTTTGGTACAAGCCTTCCAATATATTCACAAATGTTTTTTTATGATTTTATTTAGTATTCTGGTAATTGGTATTTGCAATTTAAAAAAACATACAACCATTATAAAAATAAAGACTTATTTTTATATATATTTTTATAAATTTACATAGACTTGTAAATGCAGACAGACAATCTTCAAACGTATGTAAATAAAATAATATTTCAGTTGGTGGCAATGTCATGTGCAAAACTTGAATGGTGTAAATATAAAGGCAAGATTTGCATCGCCTAAAAGTTTTATCATAAAAAGTGATGGTCCAGATTTTTTGCATAAAACCTATTTTAATAAATGAAAATTTTAATCAACAAGGATAATGCTGGAAACCCATTTGGCCTACGCCACGCCACCCTACGCTACGCTACGCTACGCGACGTTTTGTTATGCAGGAATTTAACACAGGCTTTAATGCAATACGTACTCACTTGTCCCATGCCACCCTACACCATGCCACCTGACGTCGAACGACGTCTCGAAAATCAAATTGTTTTGAATTTTGAAGAGACGTGTGAACGCGTGTTGTCCCCCTCCATGCAGCTACACACGGAGTGCGCATGTTTTGTAAACAGTTTTCAAACATGGATGAACAAATTATTGAAAAAGTGTGTTCATATGAGTTCCTGTACAATCAACATTAAAGAAATTTTGTTTTTTATTTATAATAATAGCAACAGAACACTCCTCTAGTTCCCATTCCCATTCATCAGATGAAGAACTACTTGCACACTCCATTTTATTTACCAAAACGAACAATACTAATACTAATAAGTATATAAATCAATTTTATTATTATTTCATAATTTCATAAAGCAATTTTTTTTTATATGTTTGTCATAAGACGTGGCGTAGCGTATTACTAGTGTGTACGGTGACTCGAAAACGTGAACCCACGTCAGTCGACGTCGAGTAGCATGGCGTAGCGTGGCGTGGGCCAAGTGGGTTCTAAGCTTAAGAGTGAATATTTAATTAAAATAATGCCATCACAAAATAATGCTGTCACAACATAATAGCTTATTAAAAGTCTAAAGTGAACCAAACAACAATGGTGCAACTGAAAATATTAAAATGTATTCAGACTAAAATCATCTTTATTTGTGTTGCTGCCCAGTTTGAAAAATGTGTTACTATTTAATCAGCAATAATTATTATAAAAACAGTTCCTCTTAAGCACTTCATGATAAACAAAAATAGCTGACACAAACTAAAGGGATTTTTGAAAGATGTACTTTCCTTTTGCATTAATAAGACAACCTTGTACTTAAGTGTATACAATGTTGGATAAGGAAATCGTTCAAGAGTAAGAATTTCTCAAACAGATCACCCAAACACCTTTGCAAACCATTTATTATTAATAATATATTGTAAAATGAGTGTAATAGCATACTCAATGGTAATAGGTCATTGTAACACATGTTTTTCATATTTCTATTCGACCATAAAATAAAATTAAATAAATCTTTTAAAAAACAAGTTAATTCATGTTACTAGGTTGGCACAATTGACGTGAAGAGAATTGTCAAAATATTTAATGTTGGTAAAAAAAGTCAATTTAAAGGTCTATATCTAATATCTAAAGAAGAAGAAGAAAAAAAGTCAAATTTTGTTTTGTCTATTTCGATGCTTTTAAGAGTTATACACAGTTTACATTTACTTCTAATAATTTTATTCAAATTTTATAACATAATTTTGATAAGAAGTTTTTAACACATCGTTGACATGAAAATTAAAAGTTTGGCCAACATACTGTAATAAAAAATCCTTAATTTCGATGCTTCTAAGATGCACTGAAAACGATGCGTCTAAGAACTCTTAGCATCAAAATAGACAAAAGTTATATTATTTCGAGTGTTGTACAAAAAAGTGTACTTTAATAACAAATCAATGTAATTTAATCCATTATTTATTTTTTTCCGGGTTTTAAATACTACAATTTAGAACTTTTTATAAATGTGTACTTAAAAAAAACGAAAATTCCGTTAAAAAAATGAGGCGCTTTAAAGCTTAGTTATTTTGGATTGCGCTTGCGAGGGAGAGTGGATATTCCAGAAAATTTAGACATTCAAATGGAAAAAATTAGTTCAGGGTGAAAATTTTAGGGGCAGCTTCGTTTCAATGTTATAAATATTTTGTAAAAACGGCACCTATCCTTCGCGAAATGTGTTTTTTTCTTCGAATAAATCGAAAACGGTGGATCTAACGACAATGAAGAGTTGATGAATGTTGAAGAGTCCATTCTCTACATTAAAGGTTCAAAAGGACCTTCTCGTAAGAATTCATTAATATATAAAGATTAGATCGCGCATTCCTTAGAGTAAGTAGCGCAACTTTTACGTAAAAATACATTTGGATCTTTTTTTTTTTTAAGAATTGAACGATTTATTCGCAAAAAATGTATACGGCGACCTTTATACACTAAATAGGAGTAGATTGGTTAAATTGTAAAATTGGCACAGTTAAGGAGAAGTTATGAATGTTCTCAATGGTATAACAAAATAATAAATAAAAAAATAGTGTAAAAAAGTTCAAGTAATAAAAATAAGAAACAAACATTTTTTGAGACCATTCTTTTCGTTTTTTTGTACTTTTAAAATTATATAACTTTGACAATAAATGGCTTGCAATGTGTTTTGGGTGATTCGTTTGAGAAATTCTTACTCTCAAAAATCTTTTTGGTGCATGTGTGTCTAACAACGATAATAAACCGAGTGGTATTTGTTATGTTTGCTGACAGGGTATATTACAGGGGATATGTACTCGAGGCAGCAGTCTGGGCCCGGCGGTACACCGACGCCCAGCGCTGCAGCCCCAAACATGTCCTCTAGCGGCGGCAACTCGAAGCCCGGGTCTGATTACTCGAACTACGCCGGCTACGGATCATATGCGACAGATGCTAGCGGCTACGGAGCCCCGCCTCCCCGCAGCTATGGCAGCGATGCCGGTTCCCAAGTAGGAGGATACTCTTCGCAGCCGCAGAACGCAGGTGCTAAACATTTTAACGATTATAAAGAATGGCCGAGTTCTTGACAACCTTTTGACTTGATCTGTGCCGAGAACGCGCCTCCCGCCATCACGCCATCCTCGCACCGCCCCCTTACCGCCCATCGTACTGTCTATTACAACCGCAACGGCACCGCAGCCACAAAAATATAGGCCAAGCCGGCGGTGGGGCGGCGGACATGCCGGACCGTATGGCCGGAGTCGCGTTCAAGCACCTAAACGGCACTTTAAATAACCTAACAAATAATATGGGTGTGTGTTGTAACAGTTGGAAACGTGTTGGCTTGATAAGTGTAAGAAGAGCCGGAGCCGGGATGGTCACATCGGTACTCGATTATTCTGATTAGACAGACATATGAGTTGCCGCGACGTTGCCGTTGTTGGAGGTCGATCTCCTCCCACTCCTACTCTCGCTACTCCTCTAGTTGTTGTGTGCGACATCTGGCGGCGACAAAGGCGCTCGCCCTCTATATTTCTAGCTCGCTCGCTCTAAACACACGGTGTCGTCGTCGTCGTCGTCTTGTCCCACCCACCTCTTTCTACGTTTCTTTGCTTTTATTTAATTATTTTAATTAATTAATACTTTTATAACATCTATCAATTTTTATTTAATTATTATTGCATATTCCATTATTTAACTACACTGTCGGCCACAATATTTGCAACTTTCTACCTAATATTTCTCTATTAAATTAAAAATTATTCGTATTTTTATTACATTTTTGTATTGAATTGCAATTGCATGTTGCCAACATTTGGGCCTTCAGTGTACATATAATATTATACTATATATGATATTTGTGTGAAGTTGTATTAAAATTAGACATCTATCTAATTAAGTTTTCACTTTAGAAAAATAAATAACATAGAAAAGGTAAAACTAAAAAATAAAAATACTACAGACAGACAGAAGTGTTGACTAATTTTAAGCATCCGCTCAAGTTGTTAACGTATAAATAATATATATTAAATTAGTGTAAATTTCAATTTTTACCTCATATCTATTGACGCGTTCGATTGTTCACCCGGTACTGTCTCACTTTTATAAACAGGGCATATTAAATCCTAGACGTTCGGTTTTATTGAGTGTCGAGAATTCAATTAACTCCCCTTATTTTTATGGACTGGATCTACGTGGACAATTTATTTTCATGTGGTACGCGGTCTAAGATATTGTAATTGGAGATTTTGTAATTTTAGGTAAAGTAAAAGCCGAATTTCCGGTAAAAATAAATTGTTCATGAGATTTTTTTAAGGTACTATAATTTAAAACTGACCATGTGATTCCTATACTAGTAAGTAAGTATTCTGTTAAACTTAAGTTAAATTGCATTTAAAACTAGTTATTATGATTGTTTTGTATTGTTAATTTTAATTTTACAAGTAGTATATATGATTTGATCACGATTTTTTAATATAAGTTCATTGTTCTCTAGTCTGTTTTTAATGTTATACTGGATAAGAAATTTATGTATTAATGTTGTACATATATACTATATAGATGTATTTTTTATCTAAGTTATATACGTAAAGCTAAATTCGAAACTTTGCTGGTGAACAATCAGAGCGGGTTTTTTTAAGAATAATAAGGAATTGTTATTTTAGGATCACTATTTAATAAATATTAAGGTAATTAATTTTTAATCTACCAAATAGTGCACAACCACCAATAATAGTTAGTTAAGAAGAAATACATTTAATAAGATCCGGCTGTACTCTAGGGTATGCTAAATATAGTGTTATCTAATATTTCACTTTTTATTTAGTTTCAGTATAATTTTTGGGAAACTCATAAAACCTATTTTAATTTTGATTCTTTTTAACTAATTTACACTTGAGACAACATTTAAAATCTTAATATTCAAAGATATAGTATTGACAAAAAAAAGATAAATTCTAAGTAAAAAATAACCCATGCCCCACTTAGTTCTTTAACTGTCTGGGACCTCACTAGGGTTTTAAAGTGTCGAAAAAAAACGGAAAAATTGTGAAAAAACTGTTTTTTTTCAGGCCTTGGGAAAAATTGAATTTTTTTTGAAAAATATATACATTTTAATAAAATTAGCAATTAGCAAATAAGAAAATATCATTTATTAGAAAAAAACGAACTGAAAAAAACACAACTTGCCTCTCCTCATGGAAGAGCCTTACATAAAGACAAAGGTAACTCTTAACTATCATCCGAATAATCTATCTCAATATTACTGCCGTGCTTAATGAAAACGCTGTAACCAACAATTTTGCGATTTTTGGTTTACGGCATTTTCTACTAGAACAATTCATCCTGCGTCTATCCCCGGTACTCAAAAAACCGTATATATATAAATAGATACGGTTTTTTGAGTACCGGGGATAGACGCAGGATGAATTTTTCTAGTAGAAAAAATTGAAAAATTGTTGGTTACGGCGTTTTCATTAAGCACGGCAGATTAGTTTATTTATAATATAAAATAAAATTGAACATTTTTAGAAAATTTAACTTGCATTTTTTTCGTTTTACCCTTTGAATAAAACAAAAAAATGCATAAGTCAATTTTTCTAAATATTAACCAATTTTTCTGTTTTTCTCCGCTGGCTCAATTTTTACGTAAATTTTAAAACCCTACACCTAACTCAAATAATTTAAATACCAGTTTTTTTGTAAGTTTGCATGTATGTTATAAAATTTTATTATTATAATTTTAAATTATTTTACATTATTTGTAGTTATCTATCAAAGCTCTTAACTTAAGTTTGCTAAATCAAAAGACTTTACAATCTAAACTGATATAGTATAAATATGAATATAAACTGAATTATTAGCTTAAGGTGTACATTAATTAAGTTGAGTGGTTGTGATCTATTTTTAAACTAGAAAGAAAAAGTAATGTATAGCTTATAATTTTAGCCCAATAAATGATGAAGTAAAAACAGAAATAGCTACCAAAACATAATCTATGATATATAATTAGATAAGCAAGTAACTTATTACGAATTAAAGGTGATTTATATTAATTATTAGAGAAAAAAGTAAATTCTGTCTGTCTGGGCCTCATGTGTCTATCTAATCATTAATAATTGGTGTTTGTAGTATATGGCAAATTATTAATTAATTATTTTTTTTAACTTGAGTGTGACAATCTATATTAAGCAATGTTTAATAGTAAAACTTAGACGTAACAATGTTGTTTTCTAGTTTTAAACAAAAATTAATACAAATATAAATATATCTTTTGGTTGACACAGACCAATTTTAGGGGTTAACAGTTCGGTCTTTAGTGTAGATTTAGGCGAGGCAAACACTGTATATCCAATTATTAAATTTGCTAACTTTTTTTAATTAAAATTTAAAGTAGCCATAACAAATAAAACTAACTACTTTACCATTACAAAAAATATCAATTTTTAAAATACAGCCCAATTATAATTGCAGTTTTTGTTTAAAAGGTGTTTGTCTCAGAATTATATGTATATATACATAATTTTTGAATATTCCCTTTCTATGTGGTGGGGGAGTTACTGTAAATACACATTATAACACAATTTATAAAACTACTGAATCGTCTACACCGTATCGCACATATTTTAATATCAGCTTGATACAAAAATTAAATAATATCGCTTTGAACGGCCATATTTTAATAAAAACAAGGTTTTTCATTTTTGGTATTGATGTGGAAGAAAAGGAAACGCTGTTTTATTATAATATTGTTGTTAAAATTGCATTGCTTTGGGGTACAGTTTTTATTTATGATAGGAAAATGTACTGTTTAAAGCCCGCTGCACAACAGTCCGGTAACGAGAACGGGAACGGGAACCTTTAAAGTTCAGATTCCTGTTCCCGTTACCGGGGTATTGTGCAGCGGGCTTGAATTAAATCATGTACTATTGCATTTTCAAACGCATTTGTTAAATATAATAAAACCAACAATTTTATTAAAAAAACTGTTTTCTATCATAGAAGAGACCACAGTCTTGTATAAGACTGTGGTGGAGGCTGTTGACGCATGTTTCATATCTTTTCTATATCCTATTTAAATCTTGAGTAGTTACAAGTTGGGGCGTGTTATTAATTTCAATATTTATTTACGATATGTGTACGTAGATGATTCTCTATTCTCAAATTTTAAATCCAATATTAAAAAGTATGATGAAAACACACGAATATATTAATATACATTTATTACTACTTACGCCGGTAAATAGGTATTATTTAAAGTAGTCTTAGACTTACATTTTAATGACACTAATACAAAATAAATCTAAAATTTAATATAGAATTATTTATAAATTATATTTTATATTACTGAATATTACTTATAATAGTTAATTGAATTGTTAGTGTAATTATAAATTAAAACGTATAGAAGTAAATTTTAGAACAATTTGACTGATGTACAGATACAGGATAAGTTTTAAATTTAAAGATTATACAATAAAAATGAGACATACCTAATTAATAGGGCCTTTAAGATATAGTGCAATTGTTCCAGTGGTTTAATCTAGTTAAATAGTTTTGTATCAAACTTTTTTCTCATAATTTTAGATTAATAATTTAAATTGACTAGTGTTCTCTGGGGACAAAAAAGTATTTTTTGCTCAAAGATATTATTTTGTATTACTATAAGATATCAAAAATGCTCTATTTAAAAAAGTGGAAACTTAAAAATAATAATAAACAAATTGTATATTAAATATATTAGTGTGACGTGTGTGTTAAAAAATTGTTTTATAATTCTTAAGTCTGAGATAGTTATTTGACAAAACGTGTTAATTAATAGTTAAGTAATCATTATATAACTTACGTATAACTTGTCCCTCCTTATTAACTTATCTTAACTTGTCTCTTAAATGTTATCCTCTACCACTCTGTATAAAAAATCTGTTCAGCTTTTTAGGTAATATTTGTACTGTTAAGTAAGTCAAATAAAACCTATTGGGTATTGTAACTCCTTGTGTCCTAGGTCTTTAGAAGTAATTGTTATATAAATATATTTACCGAGACCTGGTTTTGAATAATGATAATGATGTCTGTTTTATAAAATATATATATATATATATATATATATATATTCATACATACATACACGGAGTGTCCCGTATCATTATATTCAAGTTCTGTGAGCATCTCGTAGGCTTTTTCTAAGACTAGAAAACACAAAAATTGTAGGTTCATTTTTATTATTCCAAAATAATTGATCTTTTTTCTGGTGAAGTTTAGCGATAAGTAAAAAAACATTTTTGAAAAAACATTAGTTTTTATGCGGTTTTTAAATTTATGTTAGACCTGTAACTTGGGAAGGAATAAAAATCGAACTACCATTGTTGTAGTTTTTTGTCTTAAAAGCAAGCCTACTATATGCTCATAAAATTTAAATATAACGATACATACACTATGTATGGACACACACATATATATAAATGTATATATATATATATATTTAGTAGAGTACATTTGTATTGGGGTAGTTATTGATATATGATTATATTTAGCCTGAATTTAAAATGTCTATTAGTTTATCAAAATACTTACAAACCATGTACCTATTGTCATTATCTTCTTACGATAATGATCAAAATATAATATAAAAAATGATATGCATTTTACCTTAATTCAACCCCAACTTTACCCACATACACTACAAAAATCATATTTTTAGTCACATATTTTTTATAGTACCAGTTGTATTTTATTTGGTTTTTTCTTTTTATTTTTTTAGCAAATTAGTTTTTA